ATGACGAAGCAGCGAGCTCCCTTCATTTATCGTCAGAGGAGATGGAGACTTACAGGGAGGTAGAGGAGCTCGCTGCTAGGAATCAGCTGAATGATTTGGAGGGACTTTCTCCGTGTTTTCGTTGAGGGTTGGGGGGAATCTCCACCCTTTCTTGATCCGTCTGTCTACATTCCAAGGAGCCCCACCAATGTCGATGAGGCGAGACGAAAGATTCTATACTTGTATTGAGTATGTATAGAGAGACGTCGGTCCAGTACAATCGCGATATACCTACGTCTATAGTATGCAATGAAAACCCACAGTTTCAGCTGGCGACTATATCCTGTTTAAGCCGGCCACCCCCCCCCCCCCAAATTCCACCCAAACGCCAACAACAAAGACACCCTAAAGCCACAAACACCTACCAAAACCTAGACCCCAGACCCTCACAGTAGCTAAACGGTTGGTGAGCCTTATAAAATTCCCTACACGCCACTCTCAACCTTTTCTTGATCCCTTAAATGAGCCCTGAAACGAAAATCCTTCAAGACCCCAAAAACCTTAAGGACCCTAAAGACCGCAAAGATCCGACAAACGCTCAAGACAAGACCTTAAAGACCTCCTTTGAACCCTGTCTTGATCCCGTAAAGCCCTAAGCCCCAAAAAATCCAGAAACTCTAGACCCTGAAAACCCCAGACCCCACTACCTTAAACACCCTAGAAGGCCCAAATCCCAAACTCTGCACCCTAAGCACCGAAAGCCACAAAGCCTTAAACTCCAGACCCTAAAACCCCCAAACCCCCAAAACCCTAAACCCTACAGACCCTAGAAGCCCAAACCCTCAACCCTTTCTTGATCCCTTCAAGCCCAAAAACCCTAAACACCTAAACCCTACACCCCAAAACCCTAAACCCAAGATCCCAAGACCCCAAAGCCCCTACAAAGGTTGGCGAGCAGCCTCGTGGCGCCACCGGGAGCTCCCCGCGGTTCCGACGCCGCGACGACGGAGCTTCGGATTTTCGCCGCCTGACTTTGGGGCCCTTGTTAGGGTTTGGGGTTTAGGGTTTGGGATTTAGGGTTTGGGGTGTGATTTGGGTTTAGGGTTTGGGGTTAGGGTTTGGGGTTTGCGGTTTACGGTTTAGGGTTTGGGACTTTGACAGGTTCTTGTCAAGGGCTCTTCAAAGGGTTCCTGTAGAGGGTGACATAGAAATAATATTTTTACCGCATTATGGTTCCTCTAAGGGTTTGGGCGTTCCTTTAAAGGGTTACCTTTCAGGAATCTATAGGGGAGGGGTTGGGGGATTCTCTTCGGGTTTAGGGCTGTGGGGCTTCTGTAAGAGAAGCTAGCGGGAAAGGGCTCGAGGATTAGGATTTACGGCTCCTCAAGGGGTTCAATGGGTTCATAAGAGATTCCATTGAGAGTTGGGCGTGTAGCACTCCCGTAAGGACTTTATAGGGTAAGGGCCGAGGCTCTAACTTTAGTCCTGTCAGGGGTCTAAAGATATAAGCCTCGCCATAAAGCCTTTGTTCGAAAACAACAGGGATTTCAACGTTTCCTACACCCTCATCTCAGCCTCTTTTGGAGGGTCCAAAGGACCCACTAGTTAGTTACTTGGGTTGAGGCTAATAGGTTTGTAGTTTAGCATCTTGGAGAGTATATGACTATCATGAAGCCTAAATCACATGAAACCTCAACCTTAAATCATCCTAATTCCCAAGATTGCCTAAACTCTGAGTCCCGTAGATCCTGATTTCGAAACCTCATGAAAGCTACAAGCCCTAACCCCCTGATGGTATCTAAACCCTAAACCCCGAAACCCTCAACCCTTAGAGACCCGTTAAACGAGCCCTTAAAGACCCTTCGACTGTAATGTAGGGGCCTAGATCATTGCCAATACTGTTCTGGGTGTTCCTCATTATAGTTATAGCCTTGGTGGCCGCCCAACACCCTATTCTAATTGTTAAGGCCCCTTTATTACTTTGTTGCAGAGGCTCGTACCTCTGAACCCTTAAACCCTAAACACCTAAACCCCTAATCCTAAACCTTAAACCCTAAAACCTTAAACACCTAACAATAAACCCGACCGAAACCCGATCCCTAAACCATAAGCCCACCACCCCTAATCCCTAAACCCCAAACCCAAGGCTCTTCGATCGCGCACCCCGTCGCTCTACGAGACGTCGACCTTCGACGGTGCGTCGGCGACCCTTTGAAGGCCTGAGCCTGGCACGGTTTAGGGTTTAGGGTGTAGAGCTTATTGGATTTAGGGTTTGGGGTTTAGAGCTTAGGGATTAGGGTTTAGGGTTTGGGGTTTTAGAATCAACTGGGGGTTTCGGGCTTGTTGGGTTTAGGGTTTTTGGAATTATTCAGGGGTGTGATAGGGTTTAAGGAAATTAAGGGGTTTCGGGTGCGTTGGGTTTAGGGTTAGGGGGTTTAGCATTGATTCGGGATTTAGGGTTTGTTGGGGGCTTTAGGGTGTAAGGTTTGGGTTTGTGTTATATAGGATTTAGGGCATGTCGGTTTAGATTTTTTATTGTTCTGTGTTTTAGGGCTTATAGGGCTTTTACTGGGGTTCGGGGGGTATAGGGATTTTTGGAGGGGTTTAGTGCTTGTATAGGGTTCACTGCCTTTTGGTTGTGGGGTTTAGGGTCTTTTGGTGGTCTAGGGCCTTTGCTGCGTGCAGGGTTTAGGGTTTTTTGGGGGGTTCAGGGTGTCGGGTCGGCGACCTGTGGAGGTCGTTCAAACAATAACCCCAAGGGTCCAAAGGACCCAATAATGACGTACTCGGTTTTAGGATAGTAGTTATGTAGGTTAGGATTTTGTAGAGTACATGATTATTGGGTACTTGGACCCTTGGGGTAAGATCGCTACCCATAGGCCCCATAGTGGCTCCTTGTTGGGATTACCTTACAGGATTCTATATATGAACCGCAAAAAAGGAACTACGTTGGGGCCTATGGGTAGTGTCTCTGAAATCCCCACGACTACCTACCTACCCCAAAATAAGAGTCTATAAGTTTCGTTGTTGCTATGAGGCCTGGTAGAACGGTACCCTTAACATAGGGTCTGAGAGCTATGACACAATATCTCCTCATAATCTCTATGCGGTGTTGTTCGCATCCTTCCACATAAGCAAGGCTGTCAGAAGAAGGTGCACGATTTGACTCAGGGAAGTTGCCAACGAATGCTTCACGGGTTTAGGTCTTGGGCAAGCTAGGGTTTTGCGACCGACATAGATTTTTCACTGTTCCTTCATACAGTTGTACTCTAACACGCCCGAAACCTATTAATAATCTTTAAGACGGTTACATCAAACCCAATCCCAAAGCCTCTGACCTGAGAAGCCGTGAGCTGTTGAGGTGCAAAGAGCGCCTGCCGGTGAATGCATTGCATGAATGGGAGCTTCTCAAGACAGAGGATCCCTAAAGCGACGTCAACGCTTAGTCGCAATATGCGTCAAGCATCGAGTGTTGAATTAAGGCCTAAAGTGCCGCAACCTTAAGCCGCTCAAACCCTCCTGCAGTCAGGAAGCTGCAGCTATTCTGAACATGCGGGCGGCTGAAACACATATATACTTCCTTAAACCCTAAAACAGGCTTTGCCTTGGACCCGAAATACCCTGAGTGAGACAGAGACGACAGCTTCCCCACACTCCGCAAGCTCTCAAGCTTTAAACCGGCCGGCAGCCATAAATTCCCCTTTCACGATAACCAGCCCATTCCACAAGCCTCAAACGTAACAAGGCCTCAAATCCTACGGAAATCTCCAGCACCCAACCCCAGAAACTGTCATCCGTGGCTTGTCAGCCTAAACCCTACCCATAGGCCCCAAAGTAGTTCCTCTTTGTGGTTCATATATAGAATCCTATAAGGGAATCCCAAAAGGGAATAACTCTGGGGCCTATCACTATGGGTAATCCATAAACCTAGTGCTAGGGCCGGAATCGGCCCGCCATCGTCCAAAAAAACCCAGGGTTCACCACTTGGGCAAGAGTAGGCTTCAGGCGTAGGGTTGGTTCCACATGTCGAGTTTAAGTATTAGCCTAAAGGTTTAGTTTCGGGCTTAAGGTTTTGGGTACGCGGTTTTCATTGTATTGTATTCATGATTACGTATAGGGCTTTGTCCCAGCTGATGCTCTGTGCGCGGTCTGTTTTAGTCAAGTGCCGTGCTACTTGGGTACTTGGACCCGCGGTTATCTCGGGATCATATTGCAGCAAGAGTCTACGTTTCAGCCCTTGGATAATCTGGCACAGTATGCAGATACTAACCCTGGGATTTAAATTTGCCCGAAAGCCTTATATAGTATGGTCTTTGAGCCCAAAAGCCTTTAAGCATGAGTTCTTAGACTTAGATCTTCAGGAGAAACTAGATTGCTTTCCAGGGCTCTCGGTCTTGCTCCCCTCAGTCAGACTAGTAATTCCTAAGAAGGAAACCCTGCATGCTACTATTTCAGTACGTATGACCCTTTGGGATGTTGCTGTTATTCTAAAGATCTCCAGATACGACATGCTCGACAATTGTTCGCGTCAAGGACCTTCAACCGAACCTCGGATTGCTAGGCGCCAGCAAGGTTGGAATTAAGGGGTTGTAATGTTTCGGATGCCTGTGCTTTGCTGCTGCGTCTTCTCTAATTCTTAGTAGGTAATTGGGGAATGGATCCCAATGCTATATAGGTATTCAAGACATTTTAAGACGTAGGTTTCGGATGGTAGTTACGTAGGTTACTATTTGGCAGCGATTTTGTAGCCCTTGCAACCCATTCCCCCATTCCCAATCAAGAAGCAGGCAGGTTTCCATGGCTTCCCATGATGGCTGCAGTACCCAGAAGCCTCGCAAGCTGAATAACCCCAAGACGTCCTCACCACGGTTTCGGATTTTTGGGTCTAGGGTCTTAGGGTGTAGGGTCTAGGGGTTTAGACTTGGCTTAAGGTTGAAGGGTGCAGGGCTGAACTCCATAAAACCCCCAAGCACCAAGCCTTATCTTGAAATCGTCCACCTGATTGGATGCGTCCGGCCGAGGCCACAAATCCCGGCAAAAGCTTCATCGGCAGCAGCCTGCCCCCAAGTGTCCCAAAGGGACCGGTTCAGGATTAAGGAGTCGGAATGAACAATGATGTCCTCCTACCTTAAACCCACCATAATAAAGTATAGTCCCGATATAATCGGTTCGTATATTAAGGAGTGTTTTTGCATTTTATGGGGGGTGGGAGTGAACAATGATGTCCCACAGTCCCGATATAATCTAGGCCGTCGTCGGTTGGGGGTCTTGCGACGGTTTAGGGTTAAGGTTTAGGGTTTAGGGTTTGGGGTTTGGGGTTTAGGGTTTGGGGTTTGGGTTTAGGGTTTGGGGGAAGGGATTGGGGGAGACTTAGGCTGTAGGGTTCAGGGTTTACCTAGGGCTTCAAACGCAGCAAGACACTTGCATGAACCAGCAAACTTCGATGTGCCAATGTGCCACGCTTCTGACATACAATTCGTGCATATATACTTAGGCCTTGAAAGGTCCCATATGGAATCCCCTGGAAGGCCCAATCATATTATGCAAGTACATGGACCCCAGGGTACATGCAGAAACCCCGAACCCAGAAGCCCTTGCCCTCACCATGAGGGCGATCCTCATGCATTGGTTTCTGCTACGAAAAACTAGCCCAAAGAATTTGGAGAACTGAGACCCCGAGGGCTAAACTCGACAGAAGAGAAGCCCATAACTCCTAGATCCTGAACCCTTTACAAAACAGCCTAAACCCAGAAACGCAGAGAGTAATCTTGGCATCGCTCATGAACCCCATGAACTCTCGGAGTTCATGAGGTTCATGAGCGACGCCAGGAGACTCTGTACGCCTTTAGCCGGCTCTGTGGCGCTCTGCGAGGAAGACACCGGATCCAAGTCGCAGCCCAGGCTCTTAGGGTTCCTAGGGTTCCTTTCCAGGGGCCTGTAAGGGCTACTCTAAAGGAACACTATTAAATACACGGTTAGCTTCCTCAATAATTACCAATACTATTTTGGGGGTTCCTTAGTTTCAGTATTGTATAATGGGCCCCAAACCACATTCGAATTATTAGTTGTATACGGCCTCTATATTACCCATGACGCACCCAACTAATTATCAGAGGTCTCTCACGTGAGTTCATTAGATTTCTAACCGGTTTTAGATGGTGCCCAGCTAACAGCGTTGATGATGGCCGCACAGGGATTATAGGGTTATATCGGGTGTCCGAAGGCTTTGATACAGCCTACTCAAAGGCCTGTTCCTAGTATAGAAACCCTAATTAGTCCGTACTTTGTGCGTAGACGGTTGCTCAAATAGTACGGCACCCTTATATGGAAGGATCCGAAAATGGACCCTAATATAGAGAACTACTGATGTAGGTACCCAGGATCCTCGGATTTCGTACATGAGCTCCATTGGAGCCCCTAAGCACTAAACCCTATCAGGGTTATACGATGGCTTAGTTAGGTGTCCTATGAGGGTTTAAGGATTGATTGCCTAGCTCTCAGAGGTTGCTTGGTTATCTTTGTTGGCATACTCTTGTCTGAGGCTTTGCAGGGCTGCTCTGACGGATTAATTGGTTGCAGTCTTGTTCTCTTGTGACGTCAATGCGGCATTGAGTGCACTTATAGTAGAAGCCAGAAAATTGGAACATGATTGTCCTCATACCCTTAAGGTAAAGATCATAGGGATCCTTAGGGGTGTAGGGGGGAGGGGTGTAGGGGACTATATTTCCTTAAATAGGCCTTATTAGTCCTTATTATGGGCCTTAAGGAACCCCTACCCCCCCTCCCCCTACACCCCTAAGGATCCCTATGAAACGAAGAGGCGATCCCAGATTTGAGCATCCTAAAACCACGTTCCAACCTTCTGGGGTTCACTGTATGCAGTCCTTGTGACAAGGACTCTCTCAACACCCAGCCAGGATCTCTGGTGGTAGGAAGCCATCGTCACGCTGCGTACACCTGACATAGTGGTTTTGAACACTACTATAGCCACTGGTTAAGAATTAGGAATTTCAGGAGTGCTCGTATCACGGACCCGTTATTTCCTGAAAGTTTATAGTAGTGACATTCCCAGTTGTAGTTACAGTTCTGGGCAAGTCTCATTCATGGATTCAGCCTAGGTCCAGACATGGCACACAAGCCGAAGCCAAAGATCTCAACGAAAATGCACATAAGATAAGACTCACATTGATTGAGATAGCAGGAGTTATAGTAGTAGAATATTACACCCAAACCCTACTCCAAGTCTTCTATCCCGCCGCAGGACCAAGCTGTCCAGGGCGGCAGGGGGCAAGAAGGCCCACAAAGAGGCGTGCCGGGGTTGGTGGGAGAGCTTTGGTTTGAGGGGTTCGAGGTTTAGGGTTGAGGGTTTCGGGTTTGGGAGTTCCTGCTTGTAAGACTAAGGACGGATGCAATGATCTTACTTCTGTGGCGGTTTAGGGTTTAGGGTCAGCTTCAATCGTCAAGGCATGTCAACACCCTGCGAGGTACAGGTCCTCGACAGTACCCTTGAGCCCTTGTTGTGTGGGCGTGCCTCATAAAGACAGACCTAATTAGCAAGCAAAATTACAGCTTCATCCTGACTTAGTAACTGGTTACTTTAGGGACTTATAAGTACCATAACCCCAATTAGGGCCCCTTTTAGGGTACTGTACTTATAAGTCTACCTACTACCTACTAAGTCCAAGGGGATGTTGGGGAGACCAGGTGTAGGTTGCCTTCTTGATGTTCCCAATCCCCAAACACGTGGGCGTGGGGGCTTTGGGACTTCGCAAAGCCGCATCACCAGGCTTCAGCCCCTTGTTTTTCGTGATGGGCGGCCCTTTTGTTCGGAATTCTCAGCAGCCCTAAACCCTAAACCCTAAACCCTAAACCCTAAACCCTAAACCCTAAACCCTAAACCCTAAACCCTAAACCCTAAACCCTAAACCATAAACCCTAAACGCTAAACCCCAAGCCCTCAGGTGCGAAGGAAAAAGGAAAAGCTTTGGTCGGGGCCTGAGTGGCTTCCGGTCGTTCGGCTATGGCGTTGCGTTTTTTCGGGGTTATACCTTAGAAGCTGCCCCCACCCTGTAATAGTGACTGTAAGGATTATATTATGGCCCTACTATATTCCTATTATACCACTATTAGTGACTATATAAGGATTATATTAGGGCCCTATTGTATTCCTATTATGCCACTATTACAGGGTGGGGGCCCCTTCTAAGTTATACCCTGCCCTCGGGGCAAAGGGCCTAATACGTACTGCAGTACTTGGGTTCAGGATCGAAATCTTGTCGGTTACTATCTGGGAGAGCATAAGATTAGCCTAGACCCTCCATCTACCCTCTATTAGACCCTAAATGCCCATTATTTGGTGCCATATACCTCTATTTAAGGGTACATGGAGGGTCCTGGAGTATAGGTATAGGTACTTGGAACCTAAGGGTTAGATCTTCTACGATTTCCGGGATGTTGAGAACTGGTGGGTTCCATGGTGCCTTGAGGACCTGGATTTTTGCACCAAGTAGCCGTGACAGCGCCTACATTCCCTCTATCCTATAGCCTTTTGAACCCTTCGGGTAACCCATAGACCCTACACCCTAACAAAGGAGCCCGTGAAGGAACCCTGACAAGACCCTTAATTCAGCGATTTGGATCGCTGTAACTTTTGCCACGCCTCATGTATACACACGGTGCTTCAGCCGCCGTGTGATGTGCACTGCAAAGTTGCCATCTGGACCCCGCACTCGCCTTCGTCGCCCCAGAGAGCCCTAGAAGTGAATATCTCCTGGGCTGCTGCTCCTGGGCTGCGGCTGAACTTACCAACAGTCTCCATTGTAGTTCCTTTTTTTGGCTTAACCAGTTACATATTAAGGATCCTATGAGGTAACCCCAACAAGGAACCACAACGGAGACTGTAGGTAGGGTTAAGGTTTCTCGTTTTCATGAACCCTAAACCCTAAACCCTCAGTCCTCCCGAGAGCCCCCAACTACCCTTTATTGTAGACCCTAAATATCTCTTCAAGAGAAATAGCAGAGCCCTTTAAAGGTTACTTCAACCCTGAACCCTAAACGCTAAACCCTGAACCCCCAACCCTACTTAAAGGATCATGGGACTTAGCAACTAGGGTTATAATTAGGGTGACTATACTTATAATCCCAATTAGGGTACTTATAACTTTACCTACTAAGTCCCATGATCCTCCAAGTATGCCCCGAAGCCGGAAGCAGGTGCCACGTCCACATTGACCCTGTCTGTCTGCAGATCGACGGCTCCTTCAACAAGAAGGCAGTAGTAGTAGTAGTAGTAGTAGTAGTAGTAGTAGTAGTAGTAGTAGTAGTAGTAGTAGTAGTAGTAGTAGTAGTAGTAGTAGTAGTAGTAGTCAACAAGAAGGCAGAAAGAGAAAGACACGAGACAAAACTAGTTTCCTATAAGAGTCCACAGGACCCAGTGTTATGTACGTAGGTTTCGGATAGTACCTGTAGTCTCCATTCTAGTTCCTTCTTGGGGTTACGTTATAGGATCCTTAATATATGAGGGCTTAAACCAAAAAAAGGATCTACAATGGAGACTATTGGTAGGGATGTTGGTCACTTTTTGGGAGAGTGTACTTGGAGGATCATGGGATTTAGTAAATAAGGTTATAAGTACCTTAATTGGGGTTATAAGTATAGCTACGCAAATTACAACCCTAGTTACTAAGCCCCATGATCCTTTAAGTAGACCCTAAACCCTAAACCCTATAGATCCCTTTAAGGACCCCTTTTGGGAGAGTGTAGGATTCTTAGGTACTTGGGACCCCTGGGGCTGGTGCTCAGGATGCACACGCCCAGACCTCAAGCCACCTAGGCCCCGAGCCCTCAACCTGTTGCCAGCATTGATAGCACCTTGAAAAGCTTATTATGGAACCCATATGGGGGTTTCCGAAGATTAGGGGGTTCCTTATTTGGGGGTCCTTATAATAAGGATCCTACTATTTAGGGCACTATATTAGGGTCCCCTATTTTCGGAAACTTCCATATGTGAAAGAGGGTTTCTGATAGGTGCCCGGTGATCTATATAAGGCTCCTTTCAAGCATGTGTGTGGGTAAGCTTGTTTTTGACAAGGGGATCGTAGGTAATAGACATCCTACCCCATGCAACTCCTTATGGAGCCTATAGACTTGCCTAAACCTTAGCACGCTACCCACACTGGATACCATTTGTAAACCCTAAAACCCTAAACCCCTAAAACCTAAACCCCTAAACTTCAGGGGTAAACGCATGAGGCGGCTCAAAGGTCGACCACCGCATGAACCGCGGACGAGGTTCGTCCAAGTCCCCTGGCCTTCGTGCAGCCCTCGTCCCTTCGTCGAAGCCCTGCCCCCCCTTCGTTTAGACTTGCTTGGGAGCGCATTTCGTCAAATCCCTTGGGTGCAAGATCAGAGGCGGGCATTGCAGGCCATCTTGCTCCAAGGCACAGCTTCTTCCCTTCGTCCAGCTCACCTCGCTTCGCCAAGGTTCGTTTCAGATTTGTTGGGTTCACAAGGCTCGTCCAAGGTCTTTTGGTGGTCAACCCATCGGGGGGGCCCCTTCTGTTTGCGCCCTATGAACCCCTCAACCCCTCAACCCCTAACCCCTAAGCCCTAAACCCCTAAACCCTAGACCCACAACCCCAAGGCAGGGATTGCAAGTTTAGGGAGATGCCAAACTGCAAAACCCGAAAACCTTGAAAACCTAAAGCCATGCCCAAGAACACGTGAAGCCTTAATACCGAGACACGTTAGCTTCAAAACCCTGAAGAAAGCCCAAAGCCCAAATAAATCGTATTACTAAAAAGTTTATGCTTCATGTAAGGTTTAGGTCTTGACCCTTAAATCCTCTATACCCTAATCCCTATAAGCCCTAAAAGCTTTTAAACCCTATTAGCTCTATAAGCCGCATAAGCCCTATAAAACCATATATATAAACCCTGTAAACCTTAAATTTTCAAACCCTATTACACCCTATTAAACCGTACTAAGCCCTATAAACCCTAAGCCCAAAACCCTCTTACATTAAACCCTATTAATCCCTATCCAAGCCTATAAAACCTAAAAACCTACACTTTATTAAACCCTATAAGACCCTATAAGACCCTATTAGACCCTATTAGACCCTATATACATATAAATATATGTATATATATATAACCTAAATCCTACACTGTTTTGCCATGTGTCTTTCAGGTCATCGGCCGTGGTGGCGAAAACACTCGGCGGGAATCTCGGATCCTCGCCATCCTGCTTTTAGGGCTTTGGGTTTAGGTTGGTTGGTTAGAGGTTTAGGCTTCAGGGTTTAGGGGGTTAGACGTTAGAGGTTTGGGGGATTAGAGGTTAAGGGTATTAGAGATTTAGGGATTAGAGGTTTAAGCTGCAGTGTGTAAGGGTTTAGGGTTTAGGGGGTCAGAGGTTCCGAGGAATAGGGGAAATTTAGGGTTCCGCTTCGAGGGGGCTTCACGATCCGCATGTCCACGTGTATGGTTCTTGGTATCTCAAAGAAGCCCCAAATCCTAGAAAAAACGAGTTCCTGGACGTTGAAGTTGGCAATGGTTTAGGGGTTTAGGGGTTGAGGGTTTAGGGGTTTAGTTGTTGGGGTTTAGGGTTTAGGGTTGCCCCGATCTGACCATCTTCAACCCCCGAAATCACAAGGCCTGGCCGGACCAGGGGGAACTCCTTGTACAACTCACAAAGACCTGTCTGTTCAAGGATGTTTGAGGGATGTTACAAAAGTTAGGGGTTACATATGCGGTTCAGACTCAGCGTCCGTGTAGTACCTACAGACTTAGACTTCTCAGACTACAAACTACGTCTCAAAGCCCTGTTTTCATTCAGCCACAGACCCTTTTGCTTGAGTGCAGTTGTTTCTGAATAGTGGGCACGTCGCGGGATAATCCAGGATAGGCGTTGGAGGGTCTGGGTTACCCCAAACCGAAGACTGCCCCAGGCACATCAACGACCTCACTGGCGCCAAGGTCTCGTCCTGCGCGGCGGGAGGGGTTGGGACCAGCAAGAAATGCTTGAACTCCCAATCCACTGCTTAGTTATCGCAGCTCATCTTGCCAAGCGGTAGCATGCTATGTGTATATAATGTACATATACATTAAATTGTCTTCCTTCATTAGCTCGTTCATTCAGTATTTATATCTTTCATTCTCTCGTTATTTGATTTATTCGTTCACATCCATCCATCATCCATCCAGCCATAACATGTATGTGTGTGGATTTATATATATATATATATATATATATATATACATACACACACACATGTATTGAAACATATACACATGTGTATACACATATGCTTTAGAAATCTCCAGTGCCACACCCCACGCGTGTTCTATAGGGCCCTTCTACACGCCTTCTCGATCGCTTACACGAGTCAGGCCGCAAACCCCACAACTCAAACCCCACAACCCACAACTCTACCGACTGAAAAGCAGGTTCGTCTGCGCGGTCGTGGCAGTGGTCACTGGGAGGACGCCGTGCGCAAAGGCCCCTGGCCCAAAGGCGAAACGGTTTGGGGCTTAGGGTTGTAGGATGTTATAAAGTTGGAAAGGTTTCGAACGGTTTACACCTGCTTTCCCATGAACCCATTAGACCTGCTTGCCCTAAAATACTCGACAAGCAACTTTGGAGGAGTCAGCACCATATGAATGTGACGATTCCTGCTGTTTTTTTTCTGCACATCCTTCTAAGTTTTTTATACACTTTAGGTATTCATCAAAGTGCAGAAAGCTGTTTCGACTTGTTGGGTTTCTCTCTCTCTCTCTCTCTCTCTCTCTCTCTTCTTTCTCTCTCGCTGTGCAGACAAATATGTATATATGCATATGTACGTGTATATAAGTGTGTAAACATAATATATATATATATATATATATATATATATATTTATGGCCGCGGCAACAGTATGTCAACATCAACCTGCCTACGTGTATATCTGTCAACATACAGGTATGTGCATACATGTGTGTGCGGAGGCTGAACGAATCACAATTTTCTTCTTATCATTAGGCATTTGGATCCTTAGGGTAGGCCTCCATCCCCAACCGAAAGCCTCACTTTATTAAAGCTTCACAGGGCTCCCGAAGCACTAGACTTGTCAATGGGTAACTCTAAGCTTCAAAGATCTTGCAGGAGCCGCATCAACTTGAGAACAGCTGAACCCTGTAAACCGTAAACCCCGATAGTACCCGCAAAGGAGCCCATGAAGAAGATCGGATAGAACTCCCCCGTTAACCCCTAAACCTCAAGCCTTAAAGCTCTGGGTTCTGGTAGAACAGCCGAGGTGGCAAAGGCTGGCGTGAAGCGCCAGTTCCGCTCATGATAGCGAATGCCTCGGTTCTTTGTAAGGATTGCCACCTCTGAGGGTTACTATGAGGGCTACAAAAAACCTTCTAGATTAAGTCTCTAAGGGTTCAACTAGCGTCGAGGAGAAAGGGTCTCGGGTATCAGGGATTAGGGTTTTACAAACGTAAGGGTTCTTAATGCATTGGGGTAGAAAGGTGCAGAGTTTAGGATTCAGGGCCTCTCCGTGCGAAGGCTTTCGAGTTCAGAAAGTAGGGTCCAGGATCCATCAGGACTCTTCAAGTCGCGTCGTTGCAGTAGGCGTAACAGACTTAGACTTACATGTTATCCTACCCTAGCTGGGTGACGCACTGCCTCAGCTGAGGGCTACCAAAATCCTACCCTATCTTCCCTGAACCCTAAACCCTAAACCCTAAACCCACCACCCCAACTTAAAAAAAAAAACCCTAAACCCTAAACCCTAAACCCTAAGCCCTAAAGGCAACTTGGGGAGTCCCTTCTCGGATTCAGCATTCAGGGCACTGGGACTCTCAGCTGCGTTTCCTTTTCGAAAGGGTTCCTTTAGCGGTCCTTCCAGGGATTCCTGGAAGGGTTTCTGTAAGGTTACTTTAGGCGGTAGGATGTATAGTTTCAGGTTCTCCTCCCTGACGTGACTGCAACAGGCCAGAAGCAACAAACAAGCACGCATAGAGATACATGAAGATATTTACATATATATATATATATACACATGCTATGAATATATATATATATATATGCATATTCATATCTATATTCATATATATATATATATGAATGTTTGTATATATAAATATATACATATACACTATGGGGTGTCTCGTTCGCACGAATGACTTTGCGACCCTCCCTGAATTAAGGGCTGATGGCTGCCTGCCCCAACACGCAGGCTCTGAACAACGAGTTGCTTCCCTATAGTCCCTGCGTAGGCATAATATATCATGCCTAGCCCCCATACTCGGCTACAATATTCATAGCTGGAGTACTTGGTTGTGTGCGCGTGTGCGCCAAGCTGCGGTATTCTCCCGATATACAAGTATGTATATATATATATATATATATATGTATATATATATACATATACATATACATATACATATACATACATATATATATATATATATACATGACTCGCCAGGAGCTTCTTGCACGAACACCAGCAAGCTAAAGCCCAGACCCAGAACTGCCCAGAACTGACTAGAACCAGGCTTTACGGTTTCACGGGTTAGGGATATTTAGGGTTTAGGATTTACGATTTCTGGTTCTGGTCGCCTAAACCCAACACCCTTCTCGGATTCCGGCTTCAACTAAACCGTGTTAAGGGCTGGCATGGAAGATACTTTGCAGCAGAGTTTCATGCGACCGGGGGTCCATGTACCCGAAGAGTATATACGGTGGTCCACATGTACCTATAAACGGATTACTTTAAGGCCAAAGTATGTACTGTTTGGGTACGTGGACCCTTAGGCTAACTGCAGTCGTTAACAAGTTTGCTGTTGTCTTAGCTTCTTATTGTTTCTAACCACAAAACAGTGCGACAAAGATGCTAGATTCTGAGGTCTGGGTATTCCCTTGCTGTCCTAATATAAGTCCTATCCGATTTCGTCAACACTCTGCATTGATTAAGATGGAATCGGGGAGCGGCAGCGGGCTTCTCAACATGCATTTGGGTAGGGTGTAGGGTTCAGGGATTTAGGGCATCTACCCACAAATCCTGAACCCTAGAATTAGGGTTTGGGTGTAGAATCGAGGCCGTAACCTCCGACGACTGCGATCCAGGGCCATTCTGCCTGGCGGCGCGCAGCTAAGGTTTGTGGCTTTGGATTGAAGGACCTAGAACGTAGGGTTTAGGGATTTAGGGTTTAGGGTTGACAGGGATTTGAAGGAGTGCTTTCACCCCACATAAGCTACCTTTTTAGGGTTCCTTGCAATGTTCTCAGTTTTTAGTGAAGTAAGGTTTCGTTTAAGGTTTGAGTTTAGGGTTTTGAGGGACTAGGGATTTGTAGGGATTTATCTATGGATTTAGGATATTTATAGCGATTTTTCTACGGATCAGGGCTGTGAGGTTTCAGGGATGAGGGTTTTGAAACGTTGGCGTGTCAAGGATTGGGGCTTTGAGGAGTCTCGCGCGAGAGCTTTAAGAGGCAATGTCTACTTGAAGGCTCATGGGACTTAGTAAGTATAAGGTTATAAGTAGGGTATAACTAGGATAACCCCACTTAGGGGACTTATAACCCCAATTATAACCTAATTACTTACTAAGTCCCCTGATCCTCTAAGTAGGTTGTTGTGTGATTATGTTTGTGGGGCCCCGGGGCAGAACTCGTCTCCGAACGGCATGCAGCTTGCTTGCGTTTAGAGACCTGCAGTGCCGTCGGCTGCCCGTGCAAAAGGCTGTATTATAGTACCCTTATAGATTCCTGATAGAACTCTTAAAAGCAACCCTGTTCTAAGGATTAAAGGCCGTATGTTAAACCCCCATAATAGCCCTTATAGGGGGACAGCAGCCGGTGGCCGAGCTAAGCGAGCAGGGCCTAGGGACTGCACAGGAGGCGCAAAGGGTCCAAGTACCACTTAGTAGGTATTTGGGCCCTAAAAGTATATACTAGACCATTACTTGGACCCTTTGGGAGGACATCGGCTGCACATCCACCTTGGCTTCGCTGGTCTCTCTCATCTCTCACAGGGCCGAAGGTCGCCGACGCGGTCCACAGGACAGGCCGAACGCAGACGCAAAGAGGCAAGGCGGCTCTACAACGGACGTGAGCAGTTCTCCGAGTGGGGCGACAGAAGTAGCTCTGGCGGTGGGCCGACTCGCAGGCTGCGACGAGTGATTGTTGGCATTTCTGCAGTTATCCTATCATGTGCTCCAAAACTTATTTTAACATATAAGGCCTTTGTATCAAGGCTCCCTATGGAGGTTATCGTTGCTAGTTTCTCGGTTGGGCGGGCTGTGAAACCGAATGTCTCTCGGGACTCGAAGTTTCAGGCTGTTGTGCACACAGGGCCTTGTTGTAAACGGTCGAGGGCTTAGGCTTCAAGGTTCCGGGCCTACGGTTGCATTTTTAGTTGCTTAGGTAAAATCTAGAAGCTTCCAGAACTTATGACGGCGTTACCCTGCAAAGCCCTTACAGCTTTATTATGGGCAAAGGTTCACGGGCTTTAGCTTTGCGGTTCTGCCCTCAACTATCAAAACGTACTTGTTTGCAGGTTCTTATTGTTGAACTCTAGTAAGGAATTCATACGGACCGTACCGAAACAGGTTTTGGTAGGTTCAAGGTAGGGTTTAGGGTTTAGGGACTTTACTGAATTGACCCTACGGGTCTATGTATTCAAATAGTGTGTACATTGGCCTTAAAGTAGCCTGCATAGGTACTTTGGGCCAAGGTAAACACCATTTTGGTACATGGACCCTTATACCTTAAACCCTTATAGATCCCTTTAAAGGAACCTTTATGGTGCCCTTAAAGGACCCCTATTTGATTAGGGTTTTGGTTCGCAGGTCCAGATGACTGGGGAGCTTCTGCAGTGGGCCACCGGCGCCAGGGCTGCATAGGGGTTAATGGGTCTTCCGCCAATACCTACTAAGTACATTTGATCTTGTAGGTCTCCGTTAGTCCCCTGAAGCCGAAATCCTACACCCCTAAACCTCATAATCACCCTACCCTAAGGCTCCTGGACCCTCGTAGTGAGATCCCAAACCTTAGCCCCCAAAGCCGAAATCCTACCCCAGAAAGCCCAAGAGGCTCATGGGAGCCTTTGGGTAGTCTTCCCAAAGGGCATGTACCCAAAACGTATATACTTTGGACCCAATGTACCTATATAGGGACTGCTTTAAAGCCAAAGTATATACTTGGTCTTTCCAAAGGGTCCCAGTCATGAAACAGTACATACTTTTTGGGCCCCAATACCTACTAAGTACCTTTGCTCTTGTAGGTCTCCGTATTTTTGTTGCAATTGTGATCAGATTTCTGGGACGCGACGCTGTTTCGGCTTCAGATTAAAGCTGAATGGGGTCTAGGGCCAGGGCTTCTCGTGGTTCTATTCCGTCAGGGTGCAAGCGCCCAGCCTGCAGAGATACGGGTAAAGAGTATATATAGTGCTGAAGGTTTAATTCCCGAATATACGTAATATACGGACCGAATTTAAGTACTAACGGTATTCCCTGACGGTCCTAGTGCCGGTAGTATTGCCCAGAACTTCGTTTAAAGTATCAAAGCCTCTATGAGAAGAACTTTCCGGTGTAGTGCTTGCAGTGGGCCCTTTTTCACTTTTTGCAGCCTTAAGTTCCTTCTGGCCAAGGGTAAAAGGAGGGACCCTCAATAAGGACCCCTGGGTATATACCCTTATTATCGCTATTATATATACCCATTATACAGCCCTCCTTTTCCCCTTTGATAATGAACCTACCCTACACCAAAAAGGGAGTTCGTCGGTTACTGGGGATCTTAGATACTGAAGCAGACTATACTACTAAGTGTCCCGGCCTTCGGGTTACTTATGTGGGAGATTCCGAAAAAGAGGGGTACCTTTTTCTGGGGTCCTTATAATAAGGATCCTACTATTTAGGGTAGCATATTAGGGTAACCTATTTTCGGAAACTCCCATATCCTGCTGTAGAGGTGCCACATCTTGAACTCTTGAATTTGAACTTTAGGTACTGCCCCCATACAGCAAGAGTCTATAGTATGGCTACTATTCAGGTCCAAATATATCTACATTTTGAATAACATAAGGTTCATGACTCGTCATCTCTTCAACGCGGCTGCTAGGTCAATGTGGGCCACGTCATGTCGGCTCTCAGGCACGGCACGAGCAGAGGTGCACCGTCTCATTGTCCTTGGATTCTGGGTGTTTGAGGTTGTTGGTGCCTGGGTGCTCCACGGGCTTAAAGGGAACTCCGGAAAGTTGGAATATGGTTTCAGGGTAGGATCCCCTATACTTTACCTTAAAGGGGTTACGATAATGATATTCCAAGTTTCTGGCTTCTACTGTACATATGCTGCATTAGCAGGAAAGGAGGTCTTACAACAGAGTGCACTTGGTGCTCCTGCAATTCTGTCTCTTAGCGCTCCTTATTTTTTGTATAGCCAGAGCATTATATATCCCAACACCCTATTCTAATCATTAAGGCCTATATTCTTACACTGCATTTTGTAGGATCGTATTGTTTCACGTGTTAACCCTGGTTTACACAGGGATCATACCCCGACATCTCTGAAGTTCCTATGCCTAGCCCTTACCCTGGCCTGAATTCTCACGAGATAACCCTAAACCCTACCTGAACCCCAAATAACTTTCCTATTCTTGTTCCTTATCATAATTTTCTCATATATTGCTTCCAGGTAAACCCTAAGCCTAAAACGGCTCTGCGCCCTGAACCCGGATTCGGGCGCTCAGGGGATGGGCCGAGCTCCTAAGCCCTTTTCCACCCCATGCAAAAACTCTTACAAGCCCAGAGAATCCGGGTTCAGGGTTTAGGGGTTCGGGGGTTACGGTGTAGGGTGGTAGAACCTTTGTGGGATCCTTGTGGAACCCACAAGTATTTTATTGCTGGAAAGAACTTCAGACTCTTTTGTTTGATGAGGCAGGAGGGCTCACGAAGAAGCAGTGGTTCAGGGGACACCCAACGAAGGATGCAGACGGCGAAACGGCCACACCGTGCCTGCACCTGCAACAAACGATGATCCCTGAAGCCCACACCCTTAAAAAGGCTGTCCAAACCCTAAACAAAACCTTGTGCAAATTCGATGCAGCCCTTGGGAAACCGTGAGGTCAATGTTTTGGATTGGCGACTTGAGCCCTTTCGCCATGACTCTTCTTGGTGCCGCACTCGGGAAGCGGCCGCGATCCCTGCCAAAGATGTTACACTCAGCAGTTCATGGCTACGCAAAACGCAGGCTCGCGGCCTAAGTACTCTTCATGTTGGATTTTGGGAATATGTTGTGCACCACAACCCAAACATGAGGATTGATTGGAACCCCAAGCCCTACTTTAACCCCCCCAGAAACCGATCTCTGAAAGAAAGTTCGGACAGATGCAAGCAGGGAGTCTTTGGGATATAAGGTATTGTATACCGGGCTCTGCAAAGGGGTCTACTTATGTAAAGGATCATGGGACTTAGTAACTAGTAACTAGGGTTATAATTGGAGTAACTATACTTATTTCTACTTATAACCCCAATTAAGGTACTTATAACCTTGCTTACTGAGTCCCACGATCCTTCAAGTAGATTCTAGGTTTTTAGCCGCTTAAGGCTCAGGGAAATTATTATGGCCTGATCAAGTAGATCTGGCACTCCCGGAGGTTCCACTCTACATGGGTGGTTGTCAAAATTGTGGTCCCTTTTGGGTACCCCAAATAATAGGTGCCGTATTATATTAGGGACCCAAAAAGGGACCATAATTTTAACAACCACCCACGTAGTGCAAACTCCCACAAACCCTAGTCAGTTTGTTCAGGTCCTTATAGTTTGATTTTTTGTTCTGCCAGATACAATCAGCTTTATCCCACGCAGTGTTGGCATTTTGCTTCGATTATGTGGCTTTGTTGCAATTAGCCATTAAGCAAACCTGCTAGTCCACCAACCTTGTCTTTGTCCGACTGTGTTGTTTTACCATTGGGAGTATAATCATGCCTGCAGCCAGTATTGTTTAATATAATATAGCTTTCCCGCAGGTTGGACCCCTTAAAGGAACCGTATTCCAATTATTAAGGCCCCTATAGTACCCGGCTGCTTTTGGGAGCCCACTGCTGGCAAAGTCATTCAACAGAGACCCACAGTGGGGTTTAGGACATAGGGTTCAGCGCTTAGGGTTTAGGGTTCAGGGTTGTTGAGGCTTTAGGGCAGTTAAGACCCCTCAAACCCAGTTACTTGAAGGGGTCTGACTGATTTACTAGGATACCACACTTTGAACGGGGCTCTTAAAGGGTTCGTTAATCAGATCAGGGGTACAGGAAAATGTATGGGGGACCTCGATGATTAGAACAGGGCTTTGGGGTACAGTTTACTTTTCCTATGGCAGGAGCCCTAAGGAATCGCAGATAGCTTAATTTGGAAGCTTTCAGACTTTTGTGGGCTTGCTAAGAATGTACCTATCTGACAACCTGGGGCTCAGCAGGTCTTTTGGCCTTTGGCTCGAAGTCAGGCTTCAGAGTCCACCCTTAGACGTGAGGGTTCAGGGAACTATGGGGTTTCATAATATAGGGTTCAGAGGGTTTAGGGGTTAAGTTTGGGGTTCCGGGTTACGGGTTCCAGGAAGTGTCGGGGAATAAGGTGTGCAAACTCTATGCGCGAATTGAGCACTCCTTGGTTGGGGAGTTCAACGAGAAACATTGGGCCTATTTTCCTCCTCAGCTGGAGCAGACTCCCAAAAAAGGGGCCTTAATATTTGGTTACCTACACCATGTCGGGGGATTCCTTACTCTAACTATTGTATAATGTGCCCAAAACCAGATTCTAATTGCGGGCCTGTGTGGTTGCCTAGTGCGGCCTTTATCCTAAACTCTCCTATCCCTAAGTCTTTAACTAACAATTGCCGCCATGCCGCCGAAAGAGTCCAACGAGGAAGCCATGCTGCGTCTCATGGCCGGCCGAGGCAGGTGTTTCGAGCTTTTTATCTAGGGGTGTAGGGTTTAAGGGTGTAGGGTTCAGTGGTTTACGTAGGGTTTAACCCTAAACCCTAAACCGTAAGACCTGTAAGCCCTAAAGCCCTAAAGCCCTAATCCTTGAACCCTAGACCCTGAGCCCCAAAACCCTAAACCCCATAGGGTTTTTAGGGTTTAGGACGCCCTTTTGGGGTTCTTTGGGTTGAAGGTTTAGGGTTTAGGGTTTACCTACAGGACTTGGTTTAACGGTCCCCAGGACCTTGGATTTACAGATGCAGGGGTAGGGTTTACGGTGTAGAGTGTTGAACTTAGTGGTACTGTTGTGCCATGTAGGGTTTAGGGATGTTTATAGGTTTTAGGATGAGGTGCAGGGTTTGGTTTAGGGGTTTGGGGCGTTGGGCCCTTGCGACCTTCCATCGCTGTTTAAAGTCTACGACAGGACTTGCCCGTCACAAACTTGAGTGAAGAGGGGTCGCGACCTTCGGGTTGAGGTTAGAGGTTTAGGCTTCAGACGCTTAAGCAGAGGTGTCTGTGTGTACACATGCCCCGGCATTTTTCAGGCATGCGCTGTCCTCCAGACTTCTTTCGCGCGAGGAAAGGTGTATGCAGACGAGATAGTCCGCTCCATCACCTCCTTCCACGACAGAGGGTTGCGGCATGCCCCGCCCTCAAACCTCAACCTTAACACCCTGCATGGTCCAACACGAGGAATATTCCTAATATACCCATATCACCGAAGGCTTAAACCAAAACCAATCCTTCGGGTGCTCTTGTTCCTAGGAAACCGAGGAAACCCTGCCCCTAAACCCCAAACCCTCAACCTAAACGCTAAGCCCTAGCCTGTTTTGTGCAAGCACTCCAGTTTAGGGAAGGCTTCAAATCTGGAGCTGCCCGATTCAGCATTTCCTGGAACTAAGATATCTTGGAGCCTGTTCAAGCCATCCTGGATCTGGAACCCTAATATATAGGTATCTATGTATATATATATATATATATGGGTTCTAGGGCTAGTGTTTCCTAATCAAATTCCTACATTTAGGTATAGGTCGTCGGGACATTTGCATTTTCCCTTGTTGTGTGGTAGGCTTCGGGGTTCAACAGTAGCCGAAGCGATTGGCTCCAAGCATACACTTGGAGTCTACAGTCTAAAATACATGCCTACTTTGCCAGCCCTAGAGGAACCCCCTGGTCTACAGGATCCCAGAGATGCCGGAAGAAAGAGGTTTGAATCCTTACCATCGCCTTCCTCTGTGTCGAAAGCTACAAAGGCCCAAACCTGATCTGCAGATAAACCATGACACCCTGACCCCGCTCCCAACATGCTCAAACCCAGCAATTCCGAAACACATCTTCCTTGTCGGGCTCTGGCCTGCAGGGAAGGGAGACCGCCAGTGGGGCACTCAGATCACCACAGTCCCTCAGAGTCTCGCCAAGTCGGCATGGCAAGGAACATTCCTGAGCCAGGTTTAGGGTTTGAGGGTTCGGGGTCTAGGGTTGAGTCAAGTTTATACTTTTAGGCTTAGCTGAAGGTTCTCAAGGGCGCCTTTGCGGGTGTTTATTGTCCACGGACCATGCTCCTGTGATGCCCTAAGTCCCGGTATACCTACCTTTGCATTATATGCTTAGGCCGTCAACGGGGGTTTAGGCTTAGGGTATTTAGGTTTTCGGGGCCCTTTTGGGTTGGCTGTTGCGGTTGTGAAGCGAGAGGTTAGGGTTGAGGGTGAGGGTTGTGGAGTTCAGAGTTAAGGCTGTTTCTAAGATTCTACGGGTCTTGGGCCCCACCGTGAGAGCCCCAGGGTGAGCCTTGACTAGTGCGACGAGGCCACATCATGGTGGAGGCAAGGGTGGCAAAGGTGCCTGGCCTGCAACTGTTGCTACCGGAACCCTAAACCCTAAACCCTAAACCCTAACTCTGCGGATTGGCAAGCTGGATGCACTGAGAAAGCCATCATCCAAGCTCATCTTGACGCGTGAGGCCTTGTTGGGTTTGTTCTAAGCCCTGAGCCCTTTAAAGGAACCCTTCAAGGAGCTCTTGAACTCGTACCTAGAGTAGGCCCTTATTCCCTTTTTTGGGGGTTCAGGTTCCCTTCTAAGCCCCTTTAAACCAAAAAGGGCACCCTTTTTATTCCTAGGCTACTCTTGGGTCTAGTGAAAGGAACCTTGACAGGACTCTTAAAGGAGGCCCTTAGAGGAACCCTTTAAAGGCTCTCGCCAAGGGCACTGTCAGAGTTATCCGTTCGAACGTTGAAGTTGAGGGTTCCACGAAATGTCCAGGGATTGCTTAAGGCTCATAGGGTTCAGGGTAGGGCCTGGTATGACTTGCAGCTCTTTTTTTTGGTAGTACCGGCTGGTTGCTGATAAAGAGGTCCGAACATTAAGAAAGGTTGTCAAGCATCGCGCAATGCAGCGTCTAGGTCGGGTATAGGAATGAGCCTGTCATTTCGGAGCTGTTTCAGCATTGCGAGCACAGCATCGAACAAACACGTCAGTTTCCCATCTGGGCTATTTGCTAAAGTACTGTAGGGGCCTTATAATAACTACCTATACTATTTTGGGTGTTGCTTACCATGATGATAGTACAATATACCTCCCCGAACCCTATTCTAATTACTAAGGCTCCTCTATTGTTCTAAATATCTGATCGAATGAAGGTTCAAGCACCCGCAGGTTTGTATGAGCTTAAATCCTAAAGCCCGTCGCGCCTGTGAGCCACTCGAGCATGTCCGAGCCTGAACCACTGCTAAACCCTCAACCACAAATCCTCCAAAGAACCCTAAAGCCTAAAACCTCTCAAACCCAAGCCTTACCCCCCAACTACCCTTTATTCTACCCCCTATAATTCTCCCTTAGTGAGAAATATCAGAGCCCTTTAAAGGGGACTTGGGGGGCTCCTGGTATAGACAGGGTTTAGGGTTTAGGGTTTAGGGGTTTAGGGTTTAGGGTTTAGGGTTTAGGGTTTAGGGTTTAGGGTTTAGGGTTTAGGGTTTAGGGTTTAGGGTTTAGGGGGTTCCCAGTTCCGAGGCTATGGCAAAGGCAAGGATTTCAGCAGCGACCAGGTCCCTGAGGAGCGGCGTGCAAAGCTGCGCCGGAGAAGAACTTGGTTTGGGGGTTTAGGGTTTGTTGAGGAGAGGGTTTAAGTTTTATAGTTGTTTTTGGTTTGTTTGGCGGTTTAGGGTTTGTTAAGGAGAGGGTTTAAGGTTCTCATGTTTTTTTGGTTTCTGGTTTAAGGTTTGTAGGTTTACGGTTCAGGGTTTAAGGCCCAGGGCTGGGGATTGAGGGAGCCCAGCATGGGTGCTTTTGCATGTAGAGCATTTCATGAACAAGAACCTTAAAGACGAAATGAACCCTAAAAGGGTTTAAGGTTCATATACCATATAGGGTTTCATAGTATATGGGTACAGGGCCCCTACTTTTAGAGGTCATTTTGTCCTTCAGGAAGGCATGTTCGGCTTTATAGCGTTTTCATACGCAAGAACCGGGAACATTCGAGCTGAACTTTCAACGGCTCCACTGTGATGCGCTATGTTTTCGGATTGCGATTGCTAAGGGCCTGATTGCGGTAATCCTGATAATCGGGCTTTATGACCTGCTTAAAGGATCATGGGACTTAGTAAGTAGGGTTACAACTAGGGTAACTATACTTATAACCCCAATTAGGGTACGTGGTGGCATCCTGCAGACAAGCATTCGGCCCCGGAACTTAGTTTCAGGTACAGCGCTTTGGGCTTTAGAGGGTCAGCTAGGGCCCTTATGCAACTAATCCCTGAATCCGACTCCTCACCTCCGAGGCCATGGCAGTAGAATTTAAGCATATACAGGGACAAGTTATCATAATGGGATCTTGATATTATGGCCTTTAAGCATATATAGGGACAAGTTATCATAATGGGATATTATAGCTCATGTTTCCGACCCCACATTGCCCTGAATCCTACGCGTTTGAGGTGCCAGCAGCTTCAGACGTTCGTGGAAGGCGAAGACCGTCACTGGGCAGTTGGATGGGGTGCTTCGGTTCATAGTGAACTCCCGAAAGTTGGAACATAGAGTTAGCAAGAACAGTGCTGGGATGCACTTTGTATATGCAGAAACCTGTTAGAGCCCCGAAACCCTAAGCCCGAAACCTTTACATAAAACCCTTTCAGAACCCCTAAACCCTTCGGGGTACTGTAGATAGACTTTTAGAGCCCCGAAACCCTAACCCCTAACGAGCTGTGGATAGACCTGACAGAAGCCTTTTGCAGCTCCGAGACCCAGGACCCGCAGGAGCCCGAACAAATCCCAGGGCAAGGCTTTCAGACCCAGGTGACCCACGTAGTGAGATCCCAAACCCTAGCCCCCAAAGCCGAAACCTTACTCCAGAAAGCCCAAGACGCTCTTAGGAGCCTTTGGGCATAAACCTTGAATAAACCTTGAACCCTAAACCCGAAAGCCTCGACCCCTGGGCCTTAAACCTCTAAACCCCTAAATCCCTAAACCCTAAACCCCTAACCCTTAAACCCCTGCACCCTACCTATAGTCTCCGTTGTAATTCCTTTTTGGGGTTACCTTATAGGATCCTCAATTTATAATTGGTTTAACCAAAACAAGGAACTACAATGGAGACTATAGGTACAGTGCTACCATAAGGGCTTAGGATTTACCGACTCAAGGGCTCCTATGACCCCTGGCCTTGAACCCCTAAACCCGCAAACCCCTAAACCCTAAACCCCTGAACCTCCTAAACCCCTACACCCTAAACCCAGGTGGGTGGTTGTCAAAATTAGGGTCCCTTTCTGGGTACCCCAACTATTAGGTGCCGTACTATAATCGGGATCCAAAAAGGGACCCTAATTTTGACACCCTAAACTCAGGTAACTAGGGTTATAATTAGGGTATTTATACTTATCACCCCAATTACGGCACTTATAACCTTACTTACTAAGTCCCATGATCCTCCAAGTAAACCCTAAACTCTAAACCCCTAAACCCTAAGCCCCTAAACCCTAAACCCTAATCCCTAAACCCCAGACCCAGGTCAGCTGGAGATGCCACCCTCGATTACCGGCCTGGAGCGGAAGTTTCTCCACGAGCAGGCCCGGGGTTTCTCAAAGTTACCGGTTTGGGTCTCCAGGGCTTTTGGGGCCTTTATAACGGGGCTTTAGGGGTTTTAGGTGGGTTCTCAAAAGTTACCACTTTAGGGCTCCAGGCCTTCGGGGTCTTAGGGCTTTATAAGGGGGGGTTTCGGGTTTAGGTATAGGTGGCTTCGGGCTCGAGGGTGTTAGGGTTTTAGGGTTTTAGGGGTTCTCAAAGTTACCACTCTTCTCAAAGCGGAAAAGGAGGGACCCTTAATGGGGACCCTTTAAAGGGATCTATAGGGATTCTACAAGGGTATAGGGTTTAGGGTTTTTTGGTTTTGGGGGGTTTTGGGGGGTTTAGGGGAAAAGGAGGGACCCTTAATGGGGACCCCTACAATATAATGGGCTATATAATGGGTATATAATGGCTATATTAACGGTATATACCTAGGGGTCCTTATTAAGGGTCCCTCCTTTTACCCTTGGACTTTCGGGCTCCTGGGTGTTAGGGTTTTAGGGTTTAGGGGTTTATAAGGGGCTTTAGGGCTGGTTAGGGGGGGTTTCGGGTTTAGGGTATAGGGATATGGGGGTTTAGGGTTTAGGCTTTCGAATCTAGACTTCAGAGTGCAGGCATGAAGATGTTTCCATTCTAGGAGCCAGTATTCTTGGAGCCAGCCGTAAACCCCAAGCCGTAAGGCCTAAACCCTGAACCCTCCGAGTGCTCTACGAGAAGCAGTACACGTCTCATCTGAAGTAGATGTTCTGAATGTCGGATTGGCAGACGGCAAAAGGCACTGCAAAAGCAAAACCCTAAACCCTCGAGCCCCACAAAAGTTGTAAAGGACCCCTGTCAGAAACTGGAGGCCCTGAACCCCTAATTGCCTTAGAGATCCTTTAAGGAATCACCAACAAGAATCCCTAATTATAAGCCCTAGATCCTTTAAGGAATCAGAAAAAATCCTTATATACGCCATATACGCCCCATATAACCCCTAAACCCTAACCCCTAAACCCGGAACTCCCCAAAAAATCCCCCAAACTCGTTTGCGGCCCAGGCGGAACTCCATGGGCTTACGACGCAGTCTTTCGGGCAAGGTCGGGAGCGCTACATCGTCATCTTCAAGCAGGCGCTAATCCCTGAAAAACCTACCTTTCTAAGGGCGTATTTCAGGAACCCTAAAAACGTAGGTTAAACAGGGTTAAGGGAGCTTCTGCACATTTAGACCCAGGGGTATTTAGAAACAATGTTTCTTATTTTGGGCTCCTAAAATCCCTAAGAAACAGCTACAAAGAATTCTTGCCAGGGGTTTAAGTTCAGTATGGTAGACTCTAGAGTCTAGGCAGTAGAGTTTAGCGTCTAGGGTCTCGAGTATTATACAGTTTAGGGCTCAGGGTCTGGAGTTGTAAAGGGTTGTATCAGCAGTAGTTTCAGGTCTTTTCGGTATGCCTCAAATCTTGCGAAATGAGCATCTCTTTCGGGCTCCCGACCCTATTTAAATGTCGAACAAAGGGTTTAGGGTTTAGGGTTTAGGGAGCAGAAATCAGGTATCATGATCCAGGGTTTAGGGAATTGAGGGGGGGCAACATTACATTGGTCCATTTGCGGCTGTTTGTCATCTGAGGGATGTGCTTCGACCTGAAAAGTACCATGTACCCTAGTAGTATGGATCATTGTGGCTCCAAAGTTACTCTATCGGAACCCCTCTAATTCTAACCTCTTTGAGGACTAATTAACTAAGCATACCCTAAACCCTAAGCTCCTAAGTCCTAAGTCCTTATAAACCCCAGACCGTTATTTGCTACGTGTGCCCATGGATCCTTGTAAGGGTTCCTGTAAGGGCTCCTTTATAAAAAGGGTTCCTTTACGGGGACCTATAGCATCCTATGGCGGGCTTTAGCGTCGACTTTGGGCAGGAGAAGGAATCTGAGGAGACCGCAGTGGAGCCGGGCTATGTCAGCGATATCGCGCAGGCATCTACGCTTCAGGGTTTTCGGGTTTATTCGTTTGGGGTTTAGGGTCTATCCTGGGTGCTGGATTTGGAGGTTCATTCAACATGGTGCTTGAACCTCATGACAGGGCCCCCCTTAAACCTAGAAGCATATCAGTATGGTTGCTTTCCTACAATTCAAGTAACTGGAGCCCCAAACCCTGCACCCCAACTAGATTAAATCTTCAACCATTTGCAGATCAGACCCATTTAAGGAACCCACCCTGAACCCTAAGCCGAAAACTCCCAAACCCGGTAACCCTTAAACCATCTGAACCCCCCAAAACCCTCAAACCCCACCCTAAGGCTCCTAAGAGGGTCTTGCTTAAAGGATCAAGGGACTTAGTAACAAGGGCTATAATTAAGGTAATTCTATACTTATAACCCCATCAAGGTACTTGTAACCTTCCTTACTAAGTCCCATGAGCCTCCTAGTGGGTTTTCTGGGAGAGGCTTTCGTCTTTGGTGATTGCGCCTTGGGATCTCGCTGCAAGGGTGCACGAGCCTTAGGGTAAACCCTAAAGACAAAACCCATCCTTAATCCTAAACCCCTAAGCCCGGTAGCCCTTAAACCCCCAAAGCCCTAAAACCCGCATACACCCTAAAACCCCCAAAGCCCTATTGATATTATTAAGGCCCCTACCCTCATAGATCCCTTCTAGTAGCCTACATATATACCCCTTTAAACGGCAGCCCTAAACGGTTAAGGAACCTTCGAAGCTCTAGCGGTGCACCAGGCAAACTACACGGGCGTTTTTCTGGACCAGCGGAGCCGTGAGGCCTTGCTGAACTTCTGCGCGACCTGGTTGATTGGTTTCATAAGCGTTCTGGGAGGTCTCGTGTCAGGTCTCTGTCCGGGTTCTATCAGGGGGGTCTTATTAAAGTGTGGGCTCAGAAATACTGAAACTTCCATGAAGGCTCATAAGGCAATAAATGGGTACTTGGATTTAGGATACTCCGTATGGTAGGAATGTAGGCTAGCATCTGGTGGGTATGATTATTTAAGTCTGTGTTCCGCTTCCATGAGGGTTCTGAGTCTCGGGGTGATGCTCCAAAAAGACCCAATGATCATGGTTCCGTTTAGGATAGGATAGTAGGAAAGCAGGTTTGTATTTGGGGGAATGTTTGAGCATTTTGTGCTAGGCCCCTGCTGTGCAAGAGTTCTAGGAGGAGTTTGGGTCTGGGGCTTACCCTGGAGGTTGTAAACTACTATTTGCTTAAGAACCCCCAAAAAATAAAAATATATTCCTTATGGGGGTAATATAGGGATTATTTTTTTCTTATTTTTTGGGGGGTTCTTAAGCAAATAGTAGAAGGCCATCTACTGATTTCACCTTCAGTCAGACACACTAAAACTCCAATGGTTAGTGTAAAGTATCGGGTCCTGCGTTTCACGGAGGGGTCGGGTTTCGTGGATGCGGTCATCAAAGTCTTGGTAAAGCAAGAGCAGTACCCAAAGCATGTTGGGGATGCCATATTACGGCTTAGGGTCTAGGTTTCGGTGTGAGATTGGTACTACCAATACTATGCCCTTGGAAATAATTGGTAAACTATAGTAAACCCCCCAAATCCTATTCTGATCCTGAAGACCCCTGTATTCGGATTGTTAGTGCTAATACCTTACTTCGTACTAGATACCTTGGCCCCTTGGCGTAGCAAGATCTAGAAGAGTAGGCTCAGGGTTCAGGTTTCAATGCAGGCATGTTTCCAACAGTGAACGCAGTTTGAATATTGCCGCAAGGTACCGAAAGCATGATGGCACCGTGGCTGAATCAGGAATGACAGAACACACCAAAGTCGAAACCGCAAGCACTAACCCCTGGAACCCTGAACCCGAAGCCCTAAACCAAAAACCCACAAGCCCTACAAGCCCAAACCCTAAACCTCGAAGCCTTCGACCTCGAAAGACTGAAGTAAGTTCTCAGGCAACGTCGGTGCCGGGCGGAATTCCGCACCGTTGGACGCGGTTCTGCGATCATATGACGACACTAGGCTGCAGGGCTTACGGTTTAGGGATTAGAGCTCAAGCTTTCGGATTCTCAGGAGTGCATGGCGTGGGCTTCTTGAAGCTTTCAGGTGCAAGGGCTTGGCGCTGAAAGTGAAAGGCGGGTCGACCTCGGAGAGGCTACAGGCTCCTAAACCCGCTAAAGTGCTTGTATATGGGAGTTTCCGGAAATAAGGGACGCTAATATAGTACCCTAAATAGTAGGATCCTTATTATTAGGACCTCAGAAAGAGGTACCCCTAATTTTCGGAAACTCCCATATAGGAGCACACTCTAAGGCCTGAGTATATACTATAAATGTACATGCAGCCTGCGGGTAAGGCCTAGGAAGTGTTCTACTTGGAGGGTCGGGGGGCCTAGTAAGTAGTTATTGTCCCAAAGGGTCCGATGCACTGTTATGCGGGATACTCCCCTAAGTCATAATAGTAGTTCCTAATCTGGAAACCTTACATTCTAACCCACTTACTAAGTCCTCCGACCCTCCAAGTAGACGCTAAACCCTAAACCCCATAGATCGTTTTGAGGAACCCTGTAGATCCCGTTAAGGATCCCTTTAAGAACCCTTACTAAGTCTCAGGATCTGTGTTGGAGCTCTATCGAACCCGAAGACGGAGGATTTTCGCTCTGTGGCTGTCCCCTGGGCAAGTTTCGACGGTTTAGGGTTTAGGGGTTTAAAGTTTACCCTGAGGCGCCTAAGAGGGCCTTGGGCTTCCTTCGGTAGGGTTTCGGCTTTCGGGGCCAGGGCCTGGGGTTTGGGATCTCACTACGAGGGTCCAGGAGCCTTAGGGTAGGGTTATGAGGTTTAGGGGTGTCGGATTTTGGATTCATGGGACTAGGTTGAGGGATTATGATGGGGTTTCGGGCTTTGTTTGCTCCTGTCCGTTGGGGTCAAGAAGTCTTGTGGACCGTAGCAGTGTACTTAAAGGATCATGGGACTTAGTAACTAGGGTTATAGCTAGAGTAACTATACTTCCAGTTAAGGTACGTATAACCTTACTTACTTAGTCCCATGATCCTCCAAGTAAGAGATTCAGTTCTTTTTGGAATAGGGAAGTTGCTACAATGTCACGGTTGTGTTGGTGTTCTGGGCAGTCTTCAGACAAGCAGGTTCGGGTTTGTGTTTATAGGGTTATGAGGTTTGAGTTTAGGTTTTAGATCTCAGGGTTTAGGGTGTAGGGTAATTAGCGTTGAGGTCACGCAGCTGTTGCTACCTGGCATGGTCTTTGAGCACAAGATCCCTAGAGTTTGTCACTAACAAAACCCGCATATAAGGGTATTTATAAACCGTCAACCCTAAGCGTTATAACCCTCCATGCGCCTGCCCTAAACCCTAAACCCTAAACCGTGTTGTAACCCTCCATGTGCCTGTAATACTCTAAGGACACCGTGCAAAAGCAGATTGCCAAGTACCGCGAGCACCAGGAGAAAATCCAACACTCCAAGGGTTTGCGGGCTTTGGACCTACTAAACCCAGGGCATTTGCGGCATTGGGGTTGACTGTCCTCGAGTATTGGCTTCCGGGCGAGGTTGAGGTGGAGAGTTTCGGAGTTTTCGATCTTTTCCTAGCCGTGAAGTGCCATGATCCCTAGCCCAAAGCTCCGAACTCAAGCCGCAGGAGTTTGAACTGAAGGTGGTCTCTGTGGGCCGTGACGATCATGTCCTTGCAGTTGGTGTGATTGGCTGCACTTCCTGCAACCGAAATCCACACATTACTGAGCTTCGGCTTAAGATTGGTGACGGAAACTGTCTGGTTACAATCCAGCCCTTCTTTGCTTCGAGATCTTCGAATGCAGGTGTCATGAAGAAGCTATTATTATTAGCAGTCTCCTGTGGGATGGGTTCCTCCTTCTAGTGTTCAACATACCTGTCCCCAAAATAGCCATAAGGTAAGCTCCCTTTTGTTTAGGACCTCGTCCTAGTTCTAGTTCTAACTGTGGTAAAGAATCGCAAACCCTGAGCACTAAACCCTTGAAGAACTTTTTGAAGAAGCTGTCACATCTCAGGATCCTACCATGTAGGTTCTTTGATCAGGACTTTTTTCGGGTGGAGGATCAGATTGGGGTCCGCTTAGGGCTGTTACGGCTTAGGGCTTCTCGTATATGGTGCTGAGACTACCGTCGCAGATTTTGTTTGGTGATTTTTTTGAGCGAGGTGTATCCGCACAGCTCTTCATCCCGAAACGAGTGCTTGGTCTTGCCCAGAGGGTACCGATAGAATGGAATGTAGGGTTTCCATATTAGGAATTAAACTGTTATGACTTAGGAGAGTATCCCCCATAGCAGGACATAGGACCCCTTGATTTGGGACCTGAAACGCCCCTAAACCCCAAACCATCCTAGTGGTTCTGCGCTGAGGCTTCTGAAGCCCAAATGCCCTAACATGCCCTACTTGGAGGATCATGGGACTTAGTAAGTAAGGTTATAAGTACCTTACTTGGGGTTATAAGTAGATATAAGCATAGTTACCCTAATTTTAACCCTAGTTACTAGGTCCCATGATCCTTTAAGTACTGCATAGGGGTATTCTTAGCCTATTTGCTGCCATGTTAAGGGAACCTGCTCCGACTGAAGGTGGCTACAGCACCAGGGCATCCACCAAACATCAGCATCTGAGCTGCACACATGGCGGGTTTCAGAAAATAGGGGACCCCAATATAGTACCCCCCTAAATAGTAGGATCACAAAAAAGGACCCCCAAACAAGGTATCCCGAATTTTCGGAGACTCCCATATTCACTCAACAGGCTCAAGCAGATTGAGGCCTCAGGCTTCAGGTTTCGAGTTTTAGGCTTTGAGGGTTTAGGGGTTTAGGGTTTTAGGGTTTAGTTTTTTTAGGGGTTTAGGGTTTAGGGGTTTAGGGGTTTAGAATTTAGAGGTTTAGGGGTTGAGGGTTTAAGGAATAGTATAGAGTTGCTCCACGCCATGAAGCACAGGAATCAAGTTTCTCTGAGCTTAGGCTTCGGTTTTGGGGTTTTGGTTTTGCCAAGTTTGGGTGCTTTGCGTGTCATGCAACCCTGGGGCAAAAGCCTTCTATCAAAAACACCCGATCCCTCAAAACCGCCCCCAACCCTAAACCCTACATCCCAAAGGGTCCAAGTATCATTCTGGTATATACTTATAGGGCATTTTGGGGGTCTAAGTATATACCATGATGATACTTGGACCCTTTGGGCATGCGAAACTCTAAATCCGAAGCCCTAAACCCTAAACCCGTCCCGTTGCATGCTGCATGCGCAGCAGTCGGTGCGTTATCGGCTGCTACCCTTGGATTAGGGTCTGGGGGGCCTTAATATCTGCCTATACTATTTTGGGGGCTCCTTATCATAGCTATAGTATACTGGGCCCCAAAACCCTATTCTAATATAGTAGGGTTTGTGGCTAAGGGTTGGGGAGGCCAGTGTCATGAGATCAGGCAACAGCATCAAGAAGTGGACGATGTCGCTGGGCCCTTTTCAGCATCTATTTCTGCGTTTGTAGATGTGGTTCGGCTGCATCTGAAAACTCGCAACCTTATATACGCTCATATCACTTCTGTCAGCCATGAGGATTGCGGCAGAAGAGCAGCTCACGCTGACGGGGGTCGTCAAGCAGCACCTTGCCGTCATGCTATCGAAACCATCCCGTGTATACTTCAATCCCCATATACCCTACTAACCCTAGGACCCAGAGTAGGGCCTTATTCCCTTTTTGAGAGTTTCGGTTCCCTTATAATCCCCTTTAAACCAAAAAGGGCACCCTTTTTGTTCTTACGTTACTCTTAGGTCTAGAACCCTTACCAAAAGGAACCCTAAACTAGCTAAAACCCGTGAAGACTGGGAAAAGACAAGCGAAGGCGTAACTTTGTTTGCCTTACCGTGAGGGTCCAAAGAACCCAATGTGCGGTACCTCGGCTTGAGATTGTACGTTTAGGGTTTAGGGTTTAGGGTTTTTTTACGTTTAGGGATTCGGGTTTAGGGATTCTCAGGCAAGACAGGATGCTGCAATTCGTGGTCAAAGTAAACAATACTTGTCCCTCCAGGCATGGCGCACGTAAGAAAGCGGGCGATTGGGATGGGAGGCGACTGGGACAACTCTTAGCATGTTTTGTGATGTTTTGTGTGTAGGGTTCAGGGTGTAGGCTTATCGCCAAAACCGCGACCGCCACTGGGTTCAGGGAGGGGCGTACGTGCGGATGCTTGCACTTTTGTCACATCGCTCTTGGCGTGTTTCGTTCTTTCCGTGGTCACGGAGTGTTTAGGTGCAGTTAAGGTATCTATGATGTTATGAGCCTGGAAGAGTGAGGTTCTAGCCAAAGGAGTGACAAGGGTTCAGGGTTTCAGTTGTTTTGTAAGCCGGCCTATTCGCACAATTCCCAACAGTAGATCCTGGTTGCAGGCGAATCAGTTTGTACTATGTACTTGGGTGGCCTGGTAGTCCCATGATTTAGCGGTTTAAGAGGCACTGTGGCGGCCTAGGTAGCATAGAAATATGGGCAAAACCGGTCGTAATGAATGTCACCTTGCAGTCGCTTTTCAATCTTATTACAATACACCGTCAATGTCAAGTTCTAGCTACCTTAGAACCCTGAATCTTAAACCCTTTTGACCTGGAATCAACCGTGCATACACAAGTTGAAGCCTTGTTTAGCATTTTCAGGCCCTAAACCCCAGACCCTCGTGGCACTTAGTAAGTAAACCTTAATTGGGGTTATAAGTATACCCTAATTATAACCCTAGTTACTAAGTCTTATGACCCTTGAAGTAGACTCCGAAAATGAACTACAGGGCCTCGTAAGAGCCCTAGTTCAAATTCTATAGTAGTACCCTGCTAGAAGCCTCAAAACGAAACACCGTTAAGGAAGTGTTAAAATCCTACAACCCTGAAGCCCTACACCTCATAAGCCTATCCTTCAAAGAAAAACACAAACCATTCCTGCCAAGGAGGTTTCGGCTTCGTTGTCACAGCGAGCGCGACAATCTCCTGTGGCGTGAGGAGAGTTTAGGGGTTTGCGGTTTAGGGCTTAGTAGTAGAGTAGGGAACCTTTCAGCTTGTTTGGGTAGTATAGCGCCTATATATTCCCTATTTAACCAAAAAGGTCAACCTTTAGTTCCCCCTGATACCCGACAAGTAGGAGGGGGTTTAGGGTTTAGGGCCGGCACCCGAAGCCCGAGGCTTGTACACTGTGTTTTGCAAAGCCCTTGGAGCCCTTTACATGCTTTTATGTGGAAGTTTACTTATTATCACGCCTTATCAAGGCTCACTACCCTTTTTACAAGTTCTTGCAAAATCAAGCCCGGAAGAAGCACTAGCGAAGAATTCCCTGTTTCGATAGGTATATCAACACTACGTAATCAAGTAGATCAGTCAATCATCAGACGAATTAATAGATATGCAGATAAGTATGCCCACATAGATGCATACTGAATACGTTTTGGCAACCTTGCACATGCCTTGCAGAGAAGCGAAAACATGCCTTGCAGAAAGAATTGCAGAGCAAGCCTGGTAAAACTTGTGTAGAACTTGCACATCCCTACATAACCCCGCATGAAACATAAACAAGAAAAGAAACATAAAACATAAACTGCATAGATCATCCCTGCAACAGGAGAACTCCTGGTTCGGCCTTCGCCAATCAAACCGTCACCGGGATCCCAGGCAGAGGACTGCTGATTCGAAAACCTGGAATATCCGTACGTTCTGGGCCCCTCCCCTTCCCGCCCCGGAAAACCCTGCAACCATACGTGTATATAGTAGTATGTGCATATGTATGTGTATATATATACAACTACATACTTACATACATACATATATACATACATACGTACATACATACACTTGTTTTGTTCTGTATTTGTTTGCTTATGGAACTAGTTTGTTTATTCGGTTTTAGTAGATTACTAATCAGAGTGAAGAATAGTAGTTATGATTGCTTATCTTGTCAGCTGGCTAGTATTTTCCCATTAAGTGAGTACGTTGTCGACTGCTGTGTTTCGTACTGTTTCTGTTCTCGTTCGTTCATGTAGCGCTTGCCTCGTTTATGTATGCAGGCTTGTGTTCATAAAAACTTTGTTGGGCACTTGATAAAGACAGGTACGCACCAGGTTGCTGTTCCGAAGGGTCTGAAGTACAGTAGTTCTAGACTGCTGGTATAGTTTTAAGGCCCTTACAAGCGTAAACCCTAAGCCCTTAAATCAAAGTCATATGGGGGCTCGGGATTCATCTTTAGGGTTGGACGGCTGAAGACTTATATAGGTCTAGAGTTCAAGAGTCTAGTGTTTTTGGATTTAGGGTGGTGTGGCACCCCAGGACCCCCTGAGTTTCAGAGCGAGCGTTTATTCTGTTGCTTAAACAGAAGTATTTGCGCTACAGAAGAAGGTAGTTCGAACTTTTTGAGATCAGCGGGAAGCGGTCTGTGACCCTGAAGCTTTTGTTTGAGGTTGCCCCCAAGGCCATGCCATGATTAAGTTTCTGATTTTGAAATTGGGCTGGTTATACTCAAGAAATTCTCCCGCCTCCGTGAAAGGCTAACCCTTACCATACACCCTAATATGCTAAACTCGCAACGGTAGCGGTGAGGACGACTCTTGTGGGTTTCTCGAAACCCGAAAACTGCCTTAACCAAGGAATAAGTCTTCAATTATGGCGCGGATCCCTTTACCCATAGGCTCCATTTTGGGATTTTGCTTATAGGAATCTTAACATAAAACCCCCAAGAGGAACTATTATGGAGCCTACGGGTATAGCTTGAGATATACATTTGTTCAGAGGTTTGGGTGTCTGTGGGTAGCGGCCTTCTTGAGGCGTTCCATCTCTTGGATCTGCAAGGGGTTTAGGGGTTTAGGGTTTAGGGCTTAGCCCCAAGGGTCCAAAGGACCCAATATTTAGGTACTCGGTTTGAGGATAGTAGCTATGTAGGTTAGGATTTTGGGGAGTATATGATTATTGGGTACTTGGACCCTTGGGGCAGGGTTTAGTTTAGGGTTCCTTATGCAACACCGCTAGACAAAGCCTGCTGCATCCAGGAACCCTATCAGATTGGGGTTTCTCTCAGACGAGGCAGTTCGCTTGACCTTCCATCAGGTGGACCAGCAGCAAACCGACGAGTCCTGCGCGAGAGTGGGCGAGCGAAGGGTCGATTTTCGGGTTTGAGACTGGGGCCATGAGAGCGAGAGGGATGAAGAGAGAGAGAGAGAGAGAGAGAGAGCGAGTGGCACAGCGAGCGAGGGGGAGAGAGACAGAGGCAGCCAGAGATGGACTGACATGCTGACAGGATTCAAGAATACTGATGCAGAAGATGGTGATGACGATGATGGTTATTGATGATGATTATGATGTGGTATGCTTGTGCTGGCTGTCGTGGCTGTTTCGAGCCGGCATGATGGTGATAATGGCCACCACCATCACAGACCTTCATCCCAGCCATCACCAATACGAATTGAGCGTCGTCATGTCCATGCTAGTTCGCTTCCTTAGATAACAACCACAATGCCTGACGGCAGCTCAACATCCCTTGCCATGAAGCATTCGCACCCTATATAAAACGGGATGCTCTTCAGTTGTATGTAAAGCAACAGACCCACGCCTGACTTACCCCCACACCCTTCTCGATCCCTCAAGCCCAAAGGGTCCAAGTAACGGTCTAGTATATACTTTTAGGGCCCAAATACCTACTAAGTACCTACTATAATGGCACTTGGACCCTTCGGGGTTAAAGCCCTAATGTCGGAACCTGATTCTCGAAGCCCTGGACTTTTAATCCAAAAAATGTTAGGATCCATCTAAAGCACCCAGCTAACGAGGGCTGCTTGAAACTTGACGCTTGTCCTATCCAGGTCTTGGGTTTGAAGCTTCTCCAAAGGGTCCATGTTCCCAAATAGTATATACTTTTTTCCCCAAAGTACCTTCATAGGGACTACTTTAAGGCCAATGTATACACTATATGAGTACATGGACCCTTAGGGTTCAGGCTTCCGGCCCACGGTTTCGGGATTGGGGCTTAGGTTTAGATTTTTGCAGTGTGTCTATAATGGAGGATCCGTCTTTCAGACCAGATCCGTCGCCCAACCTAGCCCCACTGTCCCCGTGATAGAATGCAGGAAAATATGGACAGCCAACCGTAATGCGAGAATATGGACGGTACGCACCGTTTATGCATCCCTGAAAGAGCAGGTCAGCCATGGACGTCGACGTAGGTTGTAAAATTCCACGAACATCGTTTCTATATCCCCCTAAGTTCCTAAGCCCCAAAACCGTCCTGAAGAAACCCAAGCATAGCAGGTGGGGATGACTGCCGGCGGTGAGACGCTGAATCCCGGCACTCTGAGACCTGGCGTCTCCATGGACGCCAGCGCTTCTTGCCTGCTACGGGCTTCGGGTTTATGTATATATATATATATATATATATATATTATAGATATACAGATGCATACACGGTTTATTCGGCAAGACTTTTAAGGCATTATCCTAACTCGGGCTTCCTTGCGATTGGCGCCATGTGGTGGCCGAGAGTATAGCCGGCAAAGGTTCGACGGATACCATGTTCTCGTGGGCCCACGCTACTTGTCGGGTTTGCATGAGCATCGCGCGAGGCTTCCATGCTGATATATCATCAAATCCCAGCCGCACTGCTCCCGACTCTTTCTACCCTATAAGGCTCTTCGGCCCTGAATCCCGACCCTAAAACCCCCCACAAGGAAATTCATAATCCTGGGTCTTCATACGAGGTATCGGATCTTGGGGAGCTGTCCGAGAGCCTTCGGGTAGAGAGGGTCTAGGGTTCTGTAGGGGAAATTATGGTTGATAACCCGCCCCGTGCAACAGAGACCACAATGGGGTTCGGAATATTGAGAATAACCCCGAAGCCTTTTCACGTAAACCCGAACCGAAGCACAGAACCGGCCACCGTCAGTCGCTTAAGCCCGAAGCCTGAGAACGTAAAGCCTCAAAAGCCTAGACCCTCCAACCCTGAGCCCTGAAACCCCACAGTAGTGGTCCTTAGACGGAGCAGACCTTTAAAGGGTTAAGCACCCACTTGCACACGGTCACAATCCTTGAAAGCATTCCGTAAACCAGAGCCCGGGAAGCCCTTGATGTGTATCATGTTCGGATCGCGCCTCCCACTTCCTGAACTCCAAGAGCCCATACCCACACCCCAAAGTCTGTCTGAACCCCAAGCCCCCAAAACTGCTACCCAAAGCGGAACCTCTGAACTCAAGTTTTAGGCCTTTAGGGTTTAGGGTTTAGGGTTTAGGGTAGGTACCGAGTCCTCTTCACATCGAAAGCCCAACCAGTTAGCCCTGAGAAGCACTTCGTGCAAAACACATCTCGGATCTTGTTCCTGTCACACCCAAGCCGTATCCATACCTTAACCTTCCAAAACCTGCTTTCCTTGTAGGATCCCTACAACTTTCATATTAGGATATGACGACAAAAAATGGGCTTTGGTAGTTTAAGGGAAATCTTAAGCCCTAAACCTAAAACTCTATGCCTGTAGCGGTTTTTCAAGGGCTCAGTAGCCGAGTGAGGGCACGGTGCACTTTACGCTTTTTGGTATCATACCGTCCCCGATAAAACTGAGAGTTTACGCCTTTTGGGGGGCTTATGAACTCAGGGGTTATGGACTACCCAAAGGGTCCACAGTACCGATATAGTAGAATGTAGGGGTCTTTATAACATTCTATACTTAAAGGAACATGGGACTTCATAACTAGGTTATATTAAGGGTAACAAAACATATAACTGCTACTTATAACCCCAATTAAGGTACTTATAACCTTACTCACTAAGTCCCATGATCCTCCAAGTAACCCTAAACCATAAAGTCTCCAGCTTGGCCCCAGCTTGGCCCCAGGCTCAGATGCCGGTGTATGCTCTGGAAGGCCGGATTCATTCAGGGGCCTTTCCAAACCCTGGGCATCAAAATCGTCCAAAAGCCTTATATAACACAAGGTCTGTGGGCCCAAAAGCCGTATATAATATATGAGTCCTTAGATGCCTAGGGAAAGGACCCAATAATTAGGTTAAATTACTTTCCAGGACCTTCCTTGTGCCCTCAAATTGGGGTATATGGTCCCAAATAAGGGGCATTTAGGGTCTAATAGGGGGTAGATGGAGGGTCTAGGTTGGTTTCGTCTTATAGTTGTAGGTTACTACTTGTGAGAGTTTATGGCTATCAGGTACTTTGACCCTTAAGGGAATAGTGCAGGGTTTCGGCCCTAAGGGTTTAGGGCTCGGGATTTAGGGAAGTAGCGGTTTAGGGGTTTTAGATTCGGCCCTATAGGGTTTTTTCAGGTTCAGGGTTTAGGGTTCGGCATTTAAAGTTGAGTAGCGCCCTCCTGTATGCAGGTTTATAGCTAGAATGGGGCCCCGAACCCTATTCTAATCAACTCTTCAGAACTTCAGGCCCCAACATTAGTTCATAAGTATATTAGTGTGACCCACCGCGTACTGCATTCCGATTATTGAGGCCCCTGTGTTGGGAGTCCCCGCACCCTATCGCCCTAGATGCCGGAGCCCTGCAACCTGCTTCACCCAAAGGCTCCATGCGCCCATATAGTAGGTACTTAGACCTTAAAGTACCTATAAAAGGACCCCTTTAAGGCATAAGTACCTACTATATGGGCACATGGAGCCTTAGGGTCAAAGCAGCAGCAGTCTGACAAAGGAATAGGAATGGCTTTACGATGCGAATGAAAGCACGGTTGCATAGTGTTGCACGATAACTAGTATTACGAACCTTGTTGGCATGTAAAGCTGGTACAACCCTGAGCACTAAACTTAAAACCAAAAACACCCAGTACCCCAAGTTCTGCCTAAACCATCCCTACACCCTGCAGGCCCGGATCAGCAGTGGGTTCGCGAAGTCGACGAGGGCCCCGGGCCGTACTACTATCTCAGCGGGGATGTCGGGGGGCCCGGGAGTAGGGTTCAGTGGGTTTCGGGTTTACGGTTTAGGGATAAGGCTCTTGTTTTGAGGGAGGGCAGGGATGCGCGGGTGGGTCAAATTTTCAAGAAGCTAGAACCTTAAACCCTGAACCCAGGTGCCCTGCAAGGTCCCGCCCTGCGTACTACCATGATGAAGTTTTGCGCCACAGACCATCCGTGCTGCCTGAGGATGAGCCTTAAACCCTATTACACCAGAGTCCCCGATTGGAGCCATGTTTTGCGGACACTCGCCAGGACTCCCCAGTGCAGCGTGAACCCTGTAAGAAATACACCCTGAGGCCTCTGTGGTGGAAAAGGGCCCAAACCCTAAACCCTACACCCCGAAACCTGTCTGCAGACACGAAAAAGAGCCTGCACAAAAAGGATCCAAAACCTAGGCCCTAACACCCTGACTCCTCAATCCGGGCTGAGATCTCGGACCGCGCCCACTTTGCCTTCTTGCCCTTGGAGGCCCATGAAGGTAATATAAGGCCTGAATAAATACCTTTACTACGTTGGGTTTCCTTTTTATATAATTACAATAAGATATGCCCCAACGCCCTATTCTAATTGTTAATGTTAAGGCCCCTACATTATGTGTCAGGTGTACCTAGAGTTTCCAACTATGGTTGTACCGGGTTACCGTGTTCCCAATGCATCTGAGGTTCAGCATTGCTTTATAGAGTTTCGTCATTGTCAGATGCGGTTTGCGAGAGACAGAGAGGTCGGGACGGGGAGACAAAGAAATATTAGAAAGATGAGGAAATCTTGCCCCGCATGTTCCAACCCTTCAGTGGGGTTAGGGCTGAGGGCATTAGGACGTAGGGTTGGGGGTGTATGGCTCAGGCGTTGATGTATTCAATGTATGGGTGGGATTAAATACCCATAATGTGCCCCGAAGCCCTATGCTAAGTATTAAGGCCCCTATAATATATGACGGGTTTGGGTTTTGGCTTCGTCTATGAAGTGTTTTTGTTTGGGTGTCCGAGAACATGTACTCACCATCCCGGTAGGCATTCGCTCTAGCAAGAACAGCAGGCATGAATCAAAAACAGAATTGGACGACGAAGAAGAACGCATATCGAGGATTCGTCATGTTGCAGTAGTCGGCTCTAAGGCACTCGTCTTTAATATTAGCTCCGCCCCGGTGCTAGGCATCTGGTGTTGGAAGCTCACCATGACGGCAATCACCCTAGACCCTAAGCCCTATCAGGCTCGAAATAGCCTAAAAGCCTTATATAGTATGGTCTTTGGGCCCAAACGATTTGAAATATGAGTCCTTAGAACCTAATGGTAAACCGTCAGACTCTAAACTAAACCCCCAAGGGTCCGCTTTACGACGAGAACCCAAAGATGATGTTCCGAGATTTCCATATCGTGGTCCGTGGGCCGATGTTAAGGTACTCAGACCTTCCAAACCCCCTTAATTCAGGAATAGACCGCAAGTTATAGTAGGGTCCCTAAAGCAATTTACATTATATTCCTCGGTATGAGGATTCTGGTAGGTCTAGGAAGTGTCGGAGAATCATTGTTTACCCTGTCTTTAAGCCTTCTTCTGTTTGTCAGGTTGCTTCTTGAATTCAGTGTTTAGGGGTGGCACTACGTACGATGCCTTGTCAAGAAGCAACAGGGCGGCTCGAGTCGTCTGCGCACCCCGGGTGCAAGGTTTGGATTCCAGAAGCACACGTATGCACTGAGCAACACGGACATGCCAGGGCCAGGGGTCAAGTCAAGCGTGATTTTTCCGACAGGGTGACCGGTACAGTCGCCAAAGGCAGCTGTGGAATCTGGGTTGGAATGAGAGAGCGGCTGGTGGTATGTTTAGGGTTTAAATTATCGGGGCCTTAATAATTACCCATTCCTCATTATAATTAGGTTGAAGGGCCCCAAAACCCTTTTCTAATTATTAAGGCCCCTTTTCTTTAATATGCCCGGTGGTTAAGCCAAAGCAGGAGCCGTGCCAGAAGGCACCAGCGAGTTTTTCGAGCCAACGAACTTTGTTTTCTCACCCTTGTCTCAGAACCTATATTTAAGGAGCCCTATATCACACCTAACCATTCCCCGAAAGATCCCAACCATGTTGAGACTTGCGGGTTAAGGGTCTCTTCGAATATGAACCCCTCCTTTAGCTAGCATATTCATATGAAGCGAGTTACAAAAACCTCGTGCAAGTTGATGGCCGCCTAATTCAAGAGCCCTGAACTCCAGACCCTTGCCTGAGCCATTGCTTCACATGACCATGGAGGCTGGGACCCATCGTCCCAGACCCAGTGGCAAACTTGAGGGCGAGGACTGACGTGCTTCAGGTTTAGATTTGGCTTTATTTGGGGCCATTTACAGATGTTCGACTATGCAGGTTTTAGGTTCTCGGTCCTGGATAGGGATCTCCGAGAGAGTGTGTGTATGTAGAGGTCAAGCGGTGTATGTATGTATGTATGTATGTATGTATGTATGTATGTATGTATGTATGTATGTGTGTATATATATACATGTACATTGATGTATATACTGTGAGACAATGTATCTCTCTCTCTATCTATCTATCTATCGATCTATCTATATATATATATATTATTATATGCGTACATGTACGTATATTATGGATATGTCGGCTTTAAGGACTTTAGAGGGAGTTGTTGGCTGCAGGGCTTAGTCTTACGATCTAGTTGGTTGAGGATTCATTTTGGTGTGTTAAGGTCTTTGCTCAGCTCGGATTAATCTGACGAGATTCAAAGGCTGCCCTGGTTTTGGCTGAAGCTTATCCTTCCGTGTTCAGAGGTCCGGTGTCATGACAGTCACGCTCGGAACTGCTCAGGCCTACACATTTTTCAGGTTGGCCTGTACTTTGGACATGGACCGCCGCTAGCCGCGAGGACCTGCGTGCCGTCTGAAGGACGGAAGCAGGACATGAACCTCAAAGAGCATTGCAACTGCGTGGCTGCACGTCCTGATTCAGAAGCGCATTGCAGATGCAAGCTTCTGGAGTGGGAGGACCGCGGGATACCGCGGGTGTCCGAAGTGATTCCCGCCGGTAAAAGACATTCGCGAGTCTGCATGGCTCGCGCGGCGTTTCAGGCTGTCGCATTCTCTTGACACCACCTTCATGTATTATCGGGACCTGTTTAATTGAGTGATAGGACCAGGGTTTCTTGATCAGGTTCCTACATTACATACAAAGAGTGCTGCTGCTGTGCTACGTGCTATTGGCGTCTGGGTTGCGAATAAATCTTTCGGGGGCTGTCACTAATTAAGGATTTGTTAGCTGCACCCAAACCTTCTTCAGGCGTAGAGTTGCGTAGAGTGGATTTGAAGCTTGACTATAGTTTTGGCCTGTAGCAAAGGTTTTGAGGTTTTTAGGGGGGGGTGCCCGCAAAGCGTAATATGAGAGCCCGCAGAGCCTACATTATTCCTCGAAAACCTGTCTTTCAGGGTTCCTTGTAGTGAGCTCCTTACATAGTTCCTTAAGGACAAGACAGGATTCGGTGGTTCAGTGGAAACCCAAAATTCCTGAAGCCCTAAACCCCACCTGGACCTTCACAGGTCCAAAATTCATCAGGACTGTTATGAGGAAGTCAGATTCGGGAACATCAAGATTGATTGGGTTCAGGTTAGTGCCTACCCTATGCATCGGGGTTCAAGTACCGGTAATCACACAATGGTCCGCATAGTAGCCCACATAACTACTATCCCAAGCCTAAGTCCCTGATTATTGTTCCTGGGGACCCGTAAGGTATGCTATGCTCTTAAGTGCCAGGATCAGTTCTATGGCATTTACTATGTGGAGAGCTCCCTCAGGTCGCAGGTGGGCCCTTTGCCGGGCTTGGTGGCTGCCGAAGATGTTAACCGAACGATTCCGAACTCGTCAAAAGTGCTTGACTAGCTAGGCAGACTTTTTCGTGAATACTTTTGGTCTGTTTTCTTTCTCCCTCTCCCTCGAATTCAATGTGTATATATACATACATATATGTATATACATGTGTACACATACTATACAAATGTATATACCCACCCGTAAACCGGAAGCCGAAATTGGAGAATTCTTCCAGCATGTCTTGAATTATGGCTTCCATAGCCCGGACGGCGCCATCAAGCGTAGGAGAGTGAGGCCTGCAAGCGTTAGAGTTCAGGGCTTTCTTATTCGGTCTAGGGTTTTGGGTTTTGGAACTTGTGGGCTCTACAGATTTGTTTATGTTTTTTTTGTTGGAGGGGGGTCCTTTGTTTTGCTATGGGGGGATCCTTATGCAAAGAATCCGATCATCAGGATTGTCGTCAAAACCCAGAAACCCTGGTCCGACTATGCAGCCTCCCAATTCATGCAAACATTGGCGCATCTGTGTCGTAACGGATTTGTGCTTTTTGACCTGGCGGATCACCCCTTGCAGACAGCTGATGTAGACTGGTTGCAAACGCTGCAAGCCTAAACCTGACGCAAAAACTCAAACCCTGCAGAACGACACCTTCTCTTACTGGATGTCTGGCGACTACCCGGTCTACATCGTGAGAAATCACCTTGCTCGAGCGTCTGACGAGCTGCCGAGCTTCATTATTCAGAGGCTCCTTCATAGCCCTCGAAATAAAGAGCTACTAATTAATGAACATAGGAAGAATACAAACATGTTGTCATGGCTTCTGTTATGACGGGTGTGTTTTCGTTTTAGGAGTTTTGGAGTCTCTGTTTTTAGATTTGAGCTTGTGTTTTTGTTCACGGGGCTTTGAAACGACGGACACATATTTTAAGGGAGCTAACTATCCATAAACAGGTGGATAAACGTATAACCCGCCCTATACATATATACATATGTGTATATATGCATGTTCAGATTCCTAGTTTCATGTACATTTTCATCTGTGGTTATATACATGTATATATATATATATATATATATATATATATATATATATATATACGCGCGCACACACACACACACACTCCGGTGAATCTCACAGGCCGTTTGTTCTTTAGATGCCAGAAAAGCGTAGCCCGTGTGTGGTGTGTCGGCTCTCGTCTCAGTGTTGTAATTGTAGAAACCCTAAACTCTGGGCCCTAGGCCCTAAACATAACCATAGACACTAAACTCGAGCTTCTTGAACACCACAAAGATTCACAAGCATATAATCTCGTGATCAAGCGGACCAATAACAGGGACCCATAAGAGTATGCCGCTTGCAGAACAGAGACGCCCTCAAAGGCATTCTGATTTCGAAAGGTCCCAGCATGCCCAAGGTAATCATGCTATCCCCTGACAGTGCATCCTCACTCGGGATCGTTCTTACAAGCCACCCAACCCTAGACCTCGAAACCCTGAGCTAAAACTCCAAGCCCTACACGAATCCTAAATCCTATGTCGCACCTTAAAGCCCTAAATCAGTCCTAAGGCCTCGACTCACCCCGTGTAGACTGGTATCCTGAGCAGTACCCGGTTACTCTTTATAGTTTAGGGCCCCTCCTACTAAAACCGAATCGCAGGAAAAAAGGGTGCCCTGATTAAAAAAGGGGCTACTCAGGAGCCGCCGTAGACCCTAAGCCCTCAATTCAAGCTCTTCTCAGAGGTCCATACGCGAAGCGAGCGTGTTTAAGTAGACAGCTACCATCCACCGAGCGGTCTGAGGTTAGGGAGGTTTGGATGTATTCTAGTTCAGGCTTTGAACTCATGTTTCAAGTTTGCTGTTATTGGGTTTGGGGTCGAGGGGTTTCCAGGGTCCTATTCAAGACCATGCACGGACCCTTTCAGTGTTTACCTATAGTCTCCATTGTTGTACCTTTCTTTGGTTAACCAGTTTTATGGTTAGGATCCTATACTAGAGATTTTGGTTAACCAAAAAAAGGAACTGCAATGGAGAGTATAGGTATCTACCAAAGCCTTCGGTTGACGGTTCAGTGTTCAGGTGAGGGTGCGGTCTTCTCATAGACCACCTCCGACATGCACTGCTTGAGGATTCTTTGAGATTCTGCGGGTAATATGGGAGCCCTAATTTCTAGTTTAGTTGCATATTTGGCATATATTCGTTTCCACCCAAGCCCTTCGCCAACTATTCAGGCCCGAACCTTAAGGAGAAAGAGCTTAACAGAAGCCCTAATCACCCTAAACCCTAAACCCTAAACCCTAATCTGACTATTGAGGCACCCTAGGTCAGGGTTTCCAGACCATCCTTGGACCATCCCTAACGGCTCGATGCCGTTCGCCAGATACGACTTAAAGGATCATGGGACTTAGTAACTCGGGTTATAATTAGGGTAACTATACTTATAACCCCAATTAAGGTACTTAGAACCTTATGTACTAAGTCCAATGATCCTCCTTGTAAGATTCAAGCTTCAGGGTCTGCGATTGTTTGTTTCGGGATTTCAGGTTTCAGGGGCTAGGATATGGGGTTTAGGTGCTATCCGCCTCTCCAAGTGCACGTGGCCTTTGATGATTGCCACAGCAAAGTTGTCAACGTGGAGTTCACTCACAAGGAGGACCTCCACATCAAGGGTTTAGGGTTTAGGAAACCCTACCCCAGGGTCTTCAAGAGGGGTTACGCAGGGCTTTTATCACGTGCCTACTGTTTTTTTAACAAAATAGGGCTGCTTGAAGTGCTTGAAGTAAGGAGTTGGGGCCAGGACCCGGCAAGGCACCTTTTTCCCTAAGCCCTGAACCCTAAACCCTAAATGGTTTTCACGATGTTGGATTAATGACCTAGGTTTAAGATGTCTACAGCCTTGGTTTGGGGTTAAGGGGCTTAAACCAGAAACCCTACCAAACCCCAAACCCTAACCTGAACCCCTAACTCACGTTTCTGGGTCCTGTGGACCCTTAGGGCTTTGGAGCCGTGGTTTGCGAGGTTCGAGCTTCAAGAGAGTGCACAGGGTTTACGGTTTTGGGTTTAGGATCTTAGTTTTTTTTGGTTTTGGGATTACGGTTTCGGGTTGAGGGCTTACCTGGGAAGCAACTGTTCGGCATTGCAGTCGCTTCGCGTGGTGCCTCTATTTAAGCGGACGACAGCCTTTATTGGAGCCGACACACTAATTGAGGAATGATAAAGCTCTATATGGGTCCACGTACCCATCTAAAACCATCTAGCAAAATGCTCGGCCAAGGTCCAGAATAGATGTGGCTTGCCAACCTTTGTACCGAAGCATTGCTGTACGCGTAATTTCCTTTCATTGAGCCTTGACATTAGCCCTTGTAGAACCTTGACAGTACCCAAAACCCCAAGCCCTTGAACGATCCTCTTGACAGGGTGCATGGAAGCAAGGTATTATGGTTTCTGATGTTGACAGTTCAGGGTTTGGGGTTTAGGGTTTGTGGTTTAGGGTTTGGAGTTTGGGGTTTAGGGTTGAGGGTTTAGGGTTTGGTGTTTAGGGTTAGGGTTTGGGATTTAGGGTTCGGGATTTAGGGTTTAAGGTTCGGGATTGCAGGGTCCGCATCAGAGGGTTGCGATGAGGCAGACTCTGTTGAGCCTTTCCGATCCCTGCCTTATTCAGGAAAGGGCGGTAAGTTTACCAGTATAAACCCTTAACCCTAAACTAGGATAGAACGTGTATACTGAGCCGCGAGCTCTAAAAATCTGAAAGCCGTTGCATGTCCCTGTGATGTCGCGAGGAAGAAATCGTGGCCTCCTGTCGGGGGCAGCTCAGTCGTTGTTTGATTTTTTCAGGTTCCCCTAAACCCTAAACCCTAAACCCTAAACCCCTAAACCCTAAACCCCTAAACCCAACCCAAAGTATATACTTTGGCCCGAGAGTACCTATTATATAGGGACGACTTTAAGGCCAAAGCAGATAGTATTTGGGTACATGGACCCTTAGGCTTCCGGTATGTCAGGGTTGAGGTTGCCCTGAAGGGTCCACGAAATCGTAGATGATTCGACCATCTTTGACCCCAAACTACATCGGTAGGAACTCTTTCACGGCCTAGCATACTTAAAGGATCATGGGACTTAGTAAGTAAGGTTATAAGTACCTTGACGGGGCTTATAAGTAGTTATAAGTATAGATACCTTATTTCATAAGTTTTAATTTATAACCCCTAGTTACTAAGTTCCATGATCCTTTAAGTATACGCTGCTGTGTACTAGATGGACTTTAGCCTTCGGACTGGGGTCTGGGATTGGTTTAGGGTTTGGGGTTTGGGATTTAGGGATCGAGATGTTAGCAAGTTCTCTTGCTGCGTCCTTGCATGATTTAGCGGAAGGGTTGCGTTTCACGCCAGGTAATAGGCTCCAGACCCATGTCGACTGTACCATGAAGCCGGAATAAAATCATAAACCAAATCTAAACCGCAGCCCAAGTTCAAACCCCAACCTGTCTAAACCCTAAACCCTACCCTCAACTCTAAACCCTACTTAAAGGATCATGGGACTTAGTAATTAGAGTGATAATTGGGGTAACTGTACTTATAACCCCAATTAAGGTACTTATAACCCTACTTACTAAGTCCCATGATCCTCCAAGTAGGATTTGGGATCTGTGACGTTACTGAACATTTGGGGATCCTCACGGCAGACTTCTGGGTTAAGGTCGTCATTCTTTTTTTGTCACTCACTGAACCCTGGGGTCTAGGGTTTAGGGTTTGTACCCAAACAGTATATACTTTGTTGTTATATAGGATCATTGGGCCCACAGTATAATACTATTTGAGTACATGTACCCTCAAGGAAACACCCAAACTCTGTCAATCCTTGTATAACCCTATTTACGAAGTCCCATGACCCTTCAAGTAGAACTCAGAACCTGAGGCTTTCAGCCCTTGGCCCTAGAGCCTGAATTAAAGGGGTTTACCTAGTCCCCCAACTTCCCTTTAGTAGCCCCTGATTTTCCGCTAATGAGAAATACCAGAGCCCTTTAAAGGGTACTTGGGGGGTTCCTAGTAAGTACCTCCATAGTCGGCTTGGGGTTTAGGGTTTGGGGGTCGTCGTTATAAAAGGTATGGGCTCGATCTTAGGAGGCAAATATTTATTTTAGGGTTTAGGGTTGGGGCTGGTTTAAGTAAACCCACCAAGCCAAGAGAGTACTTAGGATCGCAGGGTTTAGGGTTTAGGGGTTTAGGGTTTAGGGTTTAGGGTTACCCTGGCAGGGGCCAAACAGCCTCATTCACATACTGAGCTGCTTAGGGTTTAGGGTTTAGGATAATGAGCAGTTGAAGCCTGCCTCGTTGCAGGGATACTTAGGACTTGGGGTTTAGGCTACTGCATAGGACACTACTTTCAGATACGCCTTCGGCAACACCTATAAAATCCGGACCAAGAGGGTCCAAGTACCCAAACAGGCATCAACGACCGATTGGTAAAGCCCACCTATTGGGGGGCACTTACTTGGGCCCTCAGAGTTAACGACCTAAACCCAAAACCCCAAATCCCTAAACCCTAAACCCTGAACCCCTAAACCCTAAACCCTAAACCCTGAACCCTGAACCCTAAACCCAAAAATTAAAGCAATCCGGGGGCGACTGAGGATGAGTGGCGACACACTGGCTGAAGTGCGCCTGGAGCGTAGCGAGACGCTCCGAGGCTTGCACAAACAGGTCCTAAAGGAGATCCGAGTTCGGTCATGGGAGGGAGTAGGGGTTGAGGGTTTAGGGTTTAGGGTTTAGGGATTTAGGGATTTAGGGATTAGGGTTTAGGGTTCAGGGTTTAGGGATTTAGGGTTTAGGGATTAGGGTTTAGGGTTGAGGGCTTCGGCGTTGAGGGTTTAGGTTGAGGGTTGAGTGCTTAATTAGGGGGTTTGAGTAGGGTTTATCGTTGACAAGGATTGGGGATTTCGGCTAAATGGTTCAGGGTTTAAAGGTTGAGAGTTTTGAGTCAAGGTCATGAGGGTTTGGGGTTTAAGGATTGAGGCTTTAGGGTCGAGGGTGTAAGAGTTAAGGGTTCAGGATTTTCAGATTTGGGTTTACGGACGTGACTTGTTCGTCACACTGTGCAGAAAAATGAGACAGATCGCTACAACAGTACTCGGTACTCCGTGAAAGCGGCTGGCATAGTTACTAGTAACATTACCACAGCACGAGTGCTTTAGCTTCGGCAGGATACGAAACATGATGCTCTTTCAATAGCAATCGCACCGAAGACTTGCTAAGTCCCTAAAAGTCTATTGCGTCGTGGTCGTTCCGGCGTTTCTGCGGCAGGTGTTGCCTGTCTCATGTCTGCCGGAAAGCTCGAAAAGCAACTAACCCCCTAAACCCCGAGCTCCGGCGATCTTGTTCATTATGGGAGTTTCCGCAAATAGGGGACCGTAATATAGTACCCCTAATACTACGATCCTTATTATAAGGACCCCAAAATAAGGTACCCCTAATTTTCGGAAGCTCCCTTATCTCTAAAATATTTGGAAACCCGATAAATCCTAAGCTTCCTAAACCTGACACCGCAGAAGAAGACACGAACCGCGTGGGAGTCAAACACGAGGGAATGATATAGAGGCCTGTAGCAATTACCTAGACTATCTTGGGGGTTCCCTATCATAATTATAGCATAACGGGCCCCCAAAACCCTATTCTACTTATGGTTGCCCCGATATTATAGGTCCCCGCCTGAAGCGGACTCCCTATTCTAATTATGAAGGCCCCTACAAAAACGGAAGGAGCTCCGCAAGCAGCTCCCCGACATGCCAAAGGATGTTTCGCTCACGCTGATGCTGGGATGGAAATAGTTCAGTTCCTGTGTTTCCCTTTGATTCCCAAGACCGTATTACTATCCGTAAACCCGAAATTAGGCGCCCCAATAACTAGAATAGGGTTTTGGGTTCAGGGTTATACTACAATAATAAGGAACCCACAAAATAGTATTGGTAATCATTTAGGCCGCTATACTAACGCCCTCAACTGGCGTGTACATGAGAACTGAGGTCTTCACACACACAAACACACACAAACCGAAAGCTCAAGCCTGAAGCCCGTAAGCTTCGCGAATCTTGCAGCTCCGCTGCAGGGGCCGGAGATTTCGTCGTAGGGTGTAGAGATGTGAAATTTCAATCAGCTCACTTGAGGGTTTAGACAGAGCTTAGGGTAGGTTTTGAGAATTTTCCAGAACCATGGCAGCTTGAGCGGTTATAGTTTGTCAGTTTTAGTGTAATCCTGGTTGCTGGGTTTGTCTAGTGAAGGCTGAGACCCCTTTCCCCTAAACACTCAATGTCGGAGGATCCTCATTAACCCTAAACCCTAAACCCTGAACCGATTTCCGAAGCCAAGCTCGCCATGCCAAAAGTCACCAAGTCAGCCAGTCATGCCCCAAAGGTCTTACCTTAACCCTGAAGAACCTACCCTTTTAGGGTACTGTAGGGTTTAGGGTTTAGTTAGGGTTCTTTTGGGTTCTTTAGGGTTTAGGGTTTGCCTTAACCCTGAAAAACCTACCTTTTTAATTAGGGTTCCCTATTATGATTTCCTTATATAAGTCCTTGAAAAGGTAGGTTCTTCAGGGTCAAGGTAGGGTGTATGTAGGCTCCCATACCGTACGGCCAATAACCTGAAATCCTATACCACGCGCTTCCAGCGAGAGCACGCGACGAAACCCTCAACCCTTATAAAAAGGGTTACTATACGTGATCTATAAGGGTACTATATACTACAGGGGCCTTAATAATTCGAATAGGGTTCCGTTAAAGGGGTCTACAAGGGCTATATGGGAGTTTCCGAAAATTAGGGGTAATCCCCTTATTTGGGGGGGTCCTTATAATAAGGATCCTACTATTTAGGGTACCATTTTAGGGCCCCCTATTTTCGGAAACTCCCATATATCCCCAACACAGCGAAGCTCAGGATAGATTCGATGACAGGGCAGCTGCTGTCGCCGCCCCCGGCGCCTCCCGAGCCAGATCGGCAACTGCTGGACATACTCTGACCCGAAGGCTCCATGTACCTACATGGGTGGTTGTCAAAATTAGGGTCCCTGTTGGGGTATCCTACTAAGTATTAGGTGCCGTATTAATGTAAGGACCCAAAAAGGGACCATAATTTTGACAAGCACCTACATAGGTCCTAAACCCTAAATAATCAACCTTAAACCCTAAACTCTAAACCCTAAGGGAAGCCCTATACTCTAAACCCTAAACTCTAAACCCTGAAGTAAGCCCTAAACCCTGAATCCTAAAGTAACTAAACCCTAAACTACTCTGAGCACCAGGGGCGTTTTTTGGTGTTTAAGATTGGGGCCTGCATCCTTTTGGGCTTTCTTTGGGGGGGTTTGCGCCGAACCCGAGGCTCCATGTAGCTATCCGTTTAAAGGGATCTATAAGGGTTCCTTTAAGGGCTCCTATAAGAGATCTATAGGGTTAAGGGTTTGGGAGTTTCCGAAAAGAAGGGGCCCTATGATGTAGCACCCTAAATAGAAATATCCTTGTTACAAGGGCCCCAAAAGGAAGGTACCCCTAGTTTTCGGAAGCTCCCATATACTTAGGCCTGAGTGTACCTACATACCGTACTTTGAGGCCGACGTATATGATATATAGGTGCATGGAGTCGTAGGGTGAGTCCCAGGTGTGTGTTGGGTTTTATTTACCTCGGAAACTTTCACTGTTAAAGGTCTCGGGATCTCCCAATTAACATGGATTCGCCTAAACCCTGCACCCCAACACCCTAACTGTTCTGGCATAGTATGCACTCTCCATGCCATTTGAGAACAGCATCCGGCGTCTGCCTCAGTTGACTTTGGGATTTAGGATAGGGTTTACTTAATTAATATAAGGGTTCCCGTTGGCCATGAGGTACCTATATAGCGATTACGTCAAGGCCAAAGTATACACTTTGGTCCTAGGTAGCATTGGGGGGCCCCTTAAAGGGGACCCTTCTTAAGCCTACTTCTGGCTCTCTTAAACGGGACCCTATTGAGAGGGTCTATCTCCACAAGCGGCCGTCTAATCCTAAACCCTAAACCCGTGACCCCTAAACCTTAAACCCTAAACCCCTAAACCCAAAACCCTAAACCCCTAACTCCTAAACCCTCTTTAGGAGCACATGGACCCTTCCATTACGGTTTAGATAGTTTGGGTTTACCATCTGCTCTTGGAGACTGGGTTTAGAGGCTTGGAGGCTCTTCGGGTTTTTTAGGGATTTAGGGATTTAGGTGTTTAGGGTTCAGGGTTTGGGGTTTGACGGTTTAGGGTTTAGGGGTTTAGGCTTCAGGGTTTAGGGGTTTCGGGTTTTGCAAGGTTTAGGGATTTAGGGGTTTAGGGTTCAGGGTTTGGGGTTTGACGGTTTTAGGGGTTTAGGGTTTAGGGGTTTTTTGTTTAGGAGATCCTGGGTTGAGGGGTTGAAGCGCTCAAGCCTGTAAGCCCGGAGCCCTCGACTGGGTTCCCCACGCCAGCAGCTGAGAATACTTGGAGGATCATGGGACTTAGTAAGGTTCCTTTAAGGGCTCCATAAAGGGATCTATAGGGTTTAGGGATTAAGGTCTACTTGGGAGGATCATGGGACTCAGTAAGTAAGGTTATACGCACCTCAATTGGGGTTATATTTAGCTATAAGTATAGTTACCATAATTATAACCCTAGTTACTAAGTCCGTTGATCCTTTAAGTATTCGCTATCTGCGAAGACCCAAACCCTAAACCCTAACCATATAGTCCCTATATACTGATACGACATCCCCGAAATACTATTCACAGAACTATGGTCCCCATCATGCATTGAATTAGACCTTCTAAGCCCTCATGCAACACCCTCTGAAACCACGTATGGCACAGCATGAAACCTATCTTAGACGCTTAGGTCTTGCATTTTCCCTAAACCCGGAGGCCTCAAGAGGTGGGATGAAGGTAGGTAGGATTAAGGATCCCTTATATAAGGACTCTTATTTTGGAAGTACCCCACCTACCTTCATCCCACCTTTTGAGGCCCAGGAATACCCTTAATGGAGACCCCTGGGTCCCTATAATGGGCTATATAGTGGGTATATAATAGCTATATTAAGGGTATATACCTAGGGGTCCCTATTAAGGGTTAGGGTCCTTTTACCCTTGGAAACCCTCGCAAGAGCAGGCGATGCTTCGTCGACCCGCTCGATCGTCTCCGCTCAGGCCCAGGAGGATGAGGACGAGGAGCCCGAAGCTGGGGTTTAGGGTTTAGGGGTTTCGGTTTTAGGGTTTAGGTTCAGGGTTTAGGGGTTTCGGTGTTAGGGTTTAGGTTTAGGGTTTAGGGGTTTCGGTTTTAGGGTTTAAGTTTAGGGTTTGGGGGTTTCGGTTTTAGGGTTTAAGTTTAGGGTTTAGGGGTTTCGGTTTTAGGGTTTAGGGTTTAGGGTTTAGGGGTTTCGGTTTAGGGTTTAGGGTTTAGTGGTTTAGGGTTTAAGGATTTCGGGTTTAGGGTTTAGTGGTTTAGGGTTTAAGGATTTCGGGTTTAGCGGTTAGTGGTTTAGGGTTTAGGGGTTAGGGTTTAGGGGTTAGTGAGAGGGAGCCCGAAGCTGGGGTTTAGGGTTTAGGGGTTTCGGTTTTAGGGTTTAAGTTTAGGGTTTAGGGGTCTCGGTTTTAGGGTTTAAGTTTAGGGTTTAGGGGTTTCGCTTTTAGGGTTTAGGTTTAGGGTTTAGGGGTTTCGGTTTTAGGGTTTAGGTGTAGGGTTTAGGGGTTTCGGTTTTAGGGTTTAGGGTTTAGGGCTTTCGCTTTTAGGGTTTAGGTTTAGGGTTTAGGGGTTTCGGTTTTAGGGTTTAGGGTTTAGTGGTTTAGGGGTTTCGGTTTTAGGGTTTAAGTTTAGGGTTTAGGGGTTTCGGTTATAGGGTTTAGGTTTAGGGTTTAGGGGTTTCGGTTTTAGTTTAGGTTCAGGGTTTAGGGCTTTCGCTTTTAGGGTTTAGGTTTAGGGTTTAGGGGTTTCGGTTTTAGGGTTTAGGGTTTAGTGGTTTAGGGGTTTCGGTTTTAGGGTTTAAGTTTAGGGTTTAGGGGTTTCGGTTATAGGGTTTAGGTTTAGGGTTTAGGGGTTTCGGTTTTAGGGTTTAGGTTCAGGGTTTAGGGCTTTCGCTTTTAGGGTTTAGGTTTAGGGTTTTGGGGGTTTGGGTTTAGTGGTTTAGGATTTAGGGGTTTCTGTTTTAGGGGTTAGTGGTCTGGCGTATAGGGGTTAGGGTTGGAGCTGTAAGGGTTACAGTTACTATGCGGTTACTTTAACGGTACTATGATGTAGGGGCCTAAATAGAAACCTATACTATTTTGGGGGCTTCCTTAAAAAAAAATAGTATAATGGCCCCCAAAGCCCTATTCTAATGACTAAGGCCCCTATATTAGGGGACCCAACGGGTTTTGCAGGCCGTATACCTGGAGGGTTGCTTTGCTGGCCGGGTTTTGGGTTTAGGAGTTAGGGGTTTAGGGATTAGGGTTTCGGGATTAGGGTTTAGGGTACAAGGGTTTAGGGACTAGGGGTTTAGGGTTTAGTGGTCGCGGTAATGCAGGGGCCGGAATAATTTGCAATATATTTTCGTTAGGGGTTTAGGGTGTATACGGGTCCCCATGCTTGTGGCAGCGGTACTTGGTAGCTTGTTATAGTCATAAACAGTTACACTATAGTATACCACAAGCCCTATCGCAATTTTTGGGCCCCTATTTTGCCTGTGTTTAGGGTTTGCCAGGATGGAGCGGAGGGTCTTACAGGGTTCCATAGGGTTTTTTGTAGGGTTGTGTTAGGCCAGTGTCCGTGTGCCTGTATTGGCATACATGTAGCGGTAGCATCAGCGTAGGTAACCTTCAACCTTCTTGGGGTACTTTAATCCCTGTATATAATGATTAACCCCAAAGTTTAAACTTGAACCCATAGGGTACTGGACAAGTGAGTATGAACTGTGGCCTGAGATAGGTTCCGAATATCGAGTAATGTTGGAGACAATGTACTTCCTATTTAGGCACACGGGCTTTTGGGGCGGCCCTCGACGTACTCACCCAAGGTTTTTGGATCTGGATTTGTAGTAGTGCTACTGTATAAGTGAAACTAGGTACTTGGATTCTGAAGCTAACTCTAGCAAGCTGTATACGTCGGAACTGACAACCTATTCTGAGGCAGGACGTTCCTGGTGCAGTATGCTGCTGATGCTGACGATTCCGTGCTGACGGTAGCTGGAGCTGGACATACCCTAAGGCTCCATGTAGCTTTGTTGTATATCCTTAGGCAGCAAAGTGGTTGCTAGATAGGTAGTTTGAAGCGGTTGGTATTTCCTATATACGCGCATGGAGCCTGAAGGATTGCTTAAGCCATCAAGGCCGTTGCTCTGGGTTTAGGCTTCGGGTTTCGGCGGTGTCATAGTCATCATCTGTGGGAAGATGTCTCATGAAAAGCATGTTGCTCGGATAGATGTGTTTCAAAGAAGACCTAGCCAACACGCTAGCCTTCTTGTGTAAGTCGCCCGCCGCGTTCCATGGACGCATCTTAGGGTTAGGGTGTAGGGTTTTCGGATAGATGTGTCTCAATGGAGAACTGACTAGCCCTCAAGGTTCGGTCAGGTAGATCCTGTGCTTGGCGTTTCCTCGTCTCGGCGAAAAAAGCATCGCGGCTGCTAATGTAGGACCCTGATTGATGAAACCCTATGGAGAAACCACAGTCCCATCTCGTACAACGTAAAGACCGGTGTCATCCAGCGTCCGAACGCAATTCGCCGGAACATTGTATTGTTGGTGTCACATCTTGAAGTTTGTGATCTTAGCAGGAGACCGAGGTTGTTTGGAAATGAACGGAGTTAATGAGTTCATAGACGTTACATGCAACTTCAAAGCTGTATCTGCGCGCTCTGGGCTCAGGGAACAAAGGATGTCTTAGAGCACCTTCGCACAAAAGATTGAACTTTTATAATCATATGCGCCATCACACCCTAGCATAAACTACTGGCTTGAGGTTTGTGCGGCTTTATGTTGAATTTGTATCGACGGAAGTGAATAAG